ATTCTTATGCTCTGTTTCCCATTACAGAACCATTATCCCCACAGTACTGAGCTATTTTGTGATGAACGAAGTGTTTTAGCTGACATTTGAGACCAAAGTCCAAATGAGTTTTTTGAAGCAGCTGTAGAAGACTTTTCTGTTCGAGTACAAAGTTTACTGCTCTTGCTGTTTGTAGGCCATAAATAGGGAATAGCTGTTTCTAAATCCAAGTCAAGTCATCATCTAACAGTAGTCCTTACCAGAGACATTCCTTGTCCTTGTATGGGCATACACAGAAAAAAAACTTAACAAGAAGGACGTGGCTTTCTTCTCAGCCACAGCCAAAAATGTCATCCCTTACTACACTGGATCAGACACTTCACCTAGGAATGCTTTGAGAAGCAAACATTGCCACCTGAAATATTGCCTTGGGTAGGAATTGTGACACCAATACTGCAAAACAGATGGAATTTAAATCTGAATACAAAATGAGTTAATACTTGAAAAATAAAACTACAAAACTAAAACGAATAAAAGTCTACACTCAGACATATAGAATGGCCACAGGCAAACAAAGGCTTTTTAACTTATCATTAGCTTTATTGTATGTATGCAATAAATAACCAATAAGGGCCACAATAACAAGCAGTAGGTTTACACAAATTTTTCAAATCAGCAATGGCCACTGGTGGAAATTCTTCATTCACAGGTAGTGATGATTCAGAAGTCCTTCAAGCAAAATGTTTGTTTATAGGTGGCCATAAAGAAAAACAACAAACTATAGGCATTTTGCTGATCTGGCAACCACATTGGTAGGATGAAGAGACAGCAGACTAGTTCTTTTCACATAAGTAAATAACTATTTTTAAAACAAAAAAGTAGTAGTGTGGATGTAATTTAATACTGCACTTGCACAATGTAGAAAAATAGGCTGAGATATCCTGACTTTGCACCACTACGTCAAGCTCCAAAAAGGCTGAATCTTACATTTACCTTAATCTAACTGAATCATCTTTTATTAGACTAGTCCATTAGTCCATCCCATATTTGGTGAGATATTTCACCCCATTCCAGCTCTGGATCAATCAATTAGCATAGCTGTAGAAGCGTAGGATTATCAGTGTAGAGTGAGGACAAAATAGTAATGGTGGATGAGAGAAGGACAAAGTCAGTGAAACGAGTAAGAGAGAGGAACTCCAACAGGAACCCGTTTTGATAGCAGCAATCAGTCAGTGGTATAGAGCTCTGGCTGGAAATAGAGACACAGAAAGGATGGAGGCACCATAAAACAGATTGTGGGAAATAACAGCACAAGGGCATAAACACAGGAGCCATGTCACAGCACAGTTTTAAAATATACTGCTGACAGATGCTGGTAGTCCACAGCAGGTGGAAGACGTGCAGCACTCAACATACTTCTCAGAACAATGTTGTACAGTGACACTTCTTTTGTTTTGGTCCAGCCTAAGTATCTTCACTGTGGTTACCAAAATAAAATCTGGTGACATACCATATAACGTCCTGCAGATGGCAGCAAAGCCTTTTGAGGAAACAGGCCCCAGTTTTCTTCAGGAGGGGAAGAATAAAGCGAAAATACAAATTTAGACAGGACAGATTTGAAGTGCAAGGTTACTAATCTATCTATCTATCTATCTATCTCCCCCCCCCCTCTCTCTCTGTCTCTGTCTCTCTCTCTCTCTCTCTCTCTCCCCATCTATCTGTCTGTCTGTCTGTCTGTCTGTCTACCTGCCGGTCTGCTTGTCTTTGTCCGTCAATGTCATATCAGTGTGTCTTCACCCTGTGCTCCAGTCATGATAGTGACATTCAGTGATCATGATTTGACAAGTAGCTTAGAATACCCTGACGTAAGAACAGATTCTGCTGCCTCTACATTTTATTTATTATTGCTCCTTGGCTGCTCATTTACATTATCAAGATGTCAAAGAGCTGCTTCCTCTGTGAATCTGTAGGCATGTGGCAAGGTACCCCTCTGACACCTTTACTATTCTGGCTGGAGTTCAAATGTCGGTAAATCACTTATTACAAAAGGTGGTCATAAACACCTAATGGTTTGTCATGAATATTTTAGAGCCCTGAATATCACACAGAAATGACCTCTGGAAAACCACAACCTTAACAAGGCACATCTCAGACAGATAACCTCCACAGCCGGAGCAACATGGGGCCCCCTTTTTCTGTTTTTTTTGGCTTTTTTGTGGCATGATTGGATTGTCAATTGCAAGAAAAAGAGCTTGGCCATGGAACTGTGGATAATCCAATTTATCGCTTTGCCATTTATTACAAATTTCTGTGGCTTTTGGGTCCACTGTCACATCGATTCGTTGATTGCTTGCTTAGCTGGGTCCTAATGAGCTGCTGTCTGAATCACTGCATAATCACCGCCCTAATTCACTTCCTCGCCTGCCCTCACACTCGGTCTGTTGGCTCGCCACTATTAGAAAAGAATGGACTGAAACACAGCCCTCTGAGCAGACAATTAGTTACAACATCCTTGAAACGGGGTGTCATTCTGCGTATATTAGCCTTTAATAAATGACAATCATCTCACGGCTTAGCAGAAAGTTGTCACAGATTGCTTTTTCAGGTGACAAGGAACTCGTTGGCACATCATCTGCAGCTGACATATTTGTGAATTAAACAGTCATGAACAATGAGTGTCAGTTTTTGAGGACTTGAACTGTTAGGATGGTTCACCAAACCACCACTACACTCACTGACCACTTTATTAGGTACACCTCACTAGTGTGGGCCCCCTTTTGCCTCCAGGACTTCTTAATTCTTCATGGAATACTTTCAACAAGCTGTTGGAAACATTCATCGGAGACTTTGGTCCATGTTGATATGATAGCATCACACTGCTGCTGTAGATTTGTAGGCCTCACATCTTTGATGCAAATCTCCCATTCCACCACATCCCGAAGGTGTTCTTTTGGTTTGAGATTTGTTGACTGTGGAGGCCATTGGAGTACAGTGAACTCATTGTCATGTTCAAGAAACCAGTTTGAGATGTCTTGAGCTTTGTGACATGGTGCATTATCCTGCTGGAAGTAGCCATTGGAGATGGGTACACTGTGGTCATTAAGGGATGGACATGGTCAGCAACAATACTCAGGTAGGCTGTCGCTTTGAAACGATTCTCAATTGGTATTCAAGGGCCTAAAGTGTGCCAAGAAAATATCCCCTACCATAAAACCACCAGCAGCAGCCTGAACCATTGATACAAGGCAGGATGGATCCATGGTTTCATGTTGTTTACGCCAAATTCTGACCCTACCAACGTTGCAGCTGAAATCAATACTCATCAGACCAGGCAACATTTTTCCAATCTTCTATTGTTCAGTTTTAGAGATCCTGTGTGAATTGTAGCTTCAGTTTCCTGTTCTTAGCTGATAGGAGTTGCACCGCTGTGGTCTTCTGCTGCTGTAGCCCATCTACTTCAAGATTTGACGTGTTGCGCGCTCGGAGATGGTATTCTGCATACCTTCGTTGTAACGAGGGGTTATTTGAGTTACTGTTGCCTTTCTGTCATCTCAAATCAGTCTGCCCATTCTCCTCTGAACTCTGACATCAACAAGGCTTTTTGGTCCACACAACTGCCACTCACTGGATATTTTCTCCTTTTGAGCCATTCTCTGTAAACCCTAGAGATGGTTGTGCGTGAAAATCTCAGTAGATCAGCAGTTTCTGAAATACTCAGACCAGCCCATCTGGCACCAACAACCATGCCACGTCACTATAAAGTCACTTAAATCCCCTTTCTTCCCCATTCTGACGCTCGGTTTGAACTTCAGCAAGTTGTCTTGGCTACATCTACAATCCTAAATGCATTGAGTTGCTTGTGTTGCTTGTTAACACAAATTAACTATTTGTGTTAACAAGCAATTGAACAGGTGTGCCTAATAAAGTGGCTGGTATGTGTAGATTCTTTAGTTTAAATGTTTACAAATGAAGCTAGGGTAACAGACCTACAATTACTGTTAAAATGTTTTCTACATGGGGTACCAGTGAAATAATCACTGGGTAGTTAATTGGTAGTTACAAGAGAAAAAGTACAGGAAATAAGTAATTAAGTGCCAACTAATTTGCACTTGAGGTGTACCTAGAAAGAAATACACTGTAAGTAGTATTTTAAATGAAAGCCTGCATACCCAGTACATATTTTACATTGCATTGAAAAAGTAGAAAACGAGACATTTTACTGCCTGTATACCCTATAAGTACACTATAATACACATATTCTCAAACATTGTTGTCTTAATCATGACTAAAACATAATGCCCATTACCTCATGCATGCTTTTCAAAAAGAATCTAAAAACATAGAGCATGTTTACATTTAATTCCCTCTAAGTCCCTCTTAAACACTAAATTGTTACCCCCATACTCCTTAACCTCTTTCTTTCCCCCTGTACTTACATGTTTGTCTTGGTATAGGTACACTGAAAGTATTTTATTGATACCCCATAGCTATATACTAAATAACTGTAATTTGCAGGCTGTAATCTAAAACTAGTGCTAGGCAAATACAATAAGGTTTGGTACCAATATTTTCCTTTCATTTGCAGACATTGTTCTTCCTGGTTATCAGATATATGAAGAGCCTCACTTGAGGATAGACGGGAGAGCAAATACCACCAGGTGAAGGTTTACCTCTGCACCAATGTCTGCCTGTCTGGGTGGCATTTATCAAGCTTGAAGAGGGGGCTTAAGGACACTTCGGGGTATATTTGTAAAGAGGCTGGCGGATAAATATAGGAGGAAGCTAATCAAGCCATCTATCAACAAAATGGTGCTTCATTACTTGTCCTGTGAGATTTTTCAATACATGTCCCAGTGTGGTGAATGCAATAAGTAAGTGCAGGTGCAATTTTATGTATAGTAGTATAAATCTCTTCTCAGCTACTTGCATACTAAACACAACAGGAAAAAGGTAGGCGGACAATCAGACATGAATCACACCATCACATATTATACTGTATCAGCAAAAAAACAACAACAAAATCGTTTTCAGACAACATTTCTTTAATACAAAGTCAACATATCTACATACACAGTGGCTTTAAACCAATTATTGTTTCAGTTAGAAGTAACAGTTTGAAAGTGATAGCACTTGGCCCTCTTACAAAGGAAAAACTATTTTGCTGAGTTAGGGTTATTTTTCATTTTGTCGGTACGTACTGTATATGTTCTATTCTTTTAGATGTCATTTTTTGTTAGTGTTGTTTTTTGTTAGTCCCCCCCCAAATATTCTGCGACATATTCCAGTAAATTTGGCGTCTGTATTCAAAAGTCTAACATCTTTACATGAAGTCAAAAGAGTAACACATTGCACAAGCTTCCAAAGAACTCCACCGTTTCAGTTTTGGCATGGGCCCATTTTACCAGACTTTTTAAATTCCGAAAGAAAGTTCAGGATTTGAGTTCATTATGAAACATCGCATGGTTCCCACTGTTCAGAAATGACATGCTGGAAATGTGAATTTGCAGCAAGTTTTTGGTTGTCTTGATCTTCCCTTGGTTGCATCGCACTGCTCTCTGTTTCATTGAGTCCTGATTTCTTTCTGCATCCCAGAGCGAAACATGGCTGAACAAAAACACAGAGTATGGTTCTATACAACGCACCAGGGGGAAAATAAATCAACATTGTTTTGTGTTGTTGCAACTGAACTATGTATGGCCTTTAGCATAGCTGTATTTGTCCATCATGTTATGCCGTATTTATGGATAACACCATAGCATTTTAGGACAGCTGGGGACCTTGTGGGCATTTGCGGGAAACTTTTAAAGAATTAACATCAACTATGGGTGCCATTGTTACAAATTAAGAATCTACAATTCCTCTCTAATTTCTTTTCTTTTTAAAGGTCTAATTAATTAATAAGAATTGAACATATTCTAGTTGCTTTAGTTCCATGGTGTGAAAGAGAAGTTTTTGTATATAGTTAGAACAAGAATGTAAAGGATCTTGAATTGATGGTTGATTACCAATTCAAATGGTCAGTTGGTAGAGTGGCCTAACTTCCCATCATCAGCTAAATTATACTAGCAGATCGCTGATGCTGACTTCACGCCCTCATTGAGGCTATAGGAGTGAGAACAAGAACTGGCTTGTTTCCCAGTTTAACTGCTAGCAGGGGAAATTAAAGGCAGAAAAAAAGCGAGTGGTAATTAAAGACCAGGGAGCAGGGTTGGAGAAAGAACATTTCAGAAGGAGAGAAAACAGGCTTTACAAACACCAGGAAGTCGGATATGAGCAGAAACTTGATCTTTGTAATTCTGAATCTGTCCCCACTTAAAGTATGAGATCTTGAGGGTCAAATGATACAAATACATATAATCTATATATTTGTTTATTTACAGGTATATTCTAGATCATGGTGGATATCTAACAAAATGAATGACTACATTATATCTGAAAATAATAAAAGTAAAAAAAGAGAAAGAACTTGAGGGTCATAGTTGGACAAGATCATACAAGGTACAGTTTGTCAACTTGGGCTGACATAGATAACAAAAAAGTTCAGTTATGAAATTTTTGATTAGATATTTTGTAGACCAGTTCATTTTTCAAATGCTCAAAATATTAATCAAAAGAATACTAATGTCTAAAAGTTAATGATAATAAGAATCTTAATGTTTAAAAATGGCATCTCCTCATCGGCACAGGACCTACCCAGGGGTAGAAGTTAAATTGGTGAGTGGAGGCAGAGGACTCAGGCAAAGTGCTGACATCATCTCTGCTTTTTCTTAAGAAACACACAATGTTTCTTAGATTATAGAAACGAAACACACAAACAAAAAGAAACAAAAAGTCATCATATTTTCAAACATGAGCACTGGCTGGTATAAAAAAAAATAAAGATGATGAGGAGAAAAATTGATTTAATACTAAGTGTTTGGATATATCTTTATATTCTGCATTTAAATATATATGCATGTGTGAGTGTGCAGTATACATATATAAAAATACATATATGCACACATACACACAGACATGTTATACTTAACATTTTCTACAGTGAAAAAATAGAATGTCTTTAAACGTAATATGAACAAATAAGCATTTCTCTTTTCCTGCTAATTTTTAAAAAATGCGATACAACATCTCTGTTAAAAAACTAAACCAAAAAGAAAATAAAAAGTCAACTATGTCATGTAAAATAAATCGTTGTAATACAACATTAATGTTTTCATAATGTTACAATAACAATAAGGCTTTTTTGGAAATAAGAAAAGATTACACACAGTTCTGTCCATCGCTCTGTTTTTTTGTGCACACTCGTCAGAAACCTTCACAGAATCCGTACACTCATCTGTACCAAAGCACTGATCTCAAAATGAAAACCTGGTGATTTCAAAAGCTTGATTTTTTCTTATCAGACACATATACATTAATGCGTCAAATCCAACCTGCAGTTGTTTTTGGAGTAGTTGTTTCAAGTTTCTTTTGTTTGTTTTTTTTTTTTTAGGGATGTGCAAGTAACTTGTACCGAAGAATTTCATTATCACATCATGGCGTTGAGATCCAACATGGCTGCCTGGTCTGGCTGTGGCACCCACAGAGACATCATCTATAAAACTGAGGACAAAAACCAAAGCAACTACTTTGTTTATCCACCTGTTACCAAACACACATACAGTGGAACTAAAGGCCAATTTTTCAACCACATGAACATACAGCTTTGAAATTGCAACAGGCCTTTGCCACTCTTGAGTCTTGTACAATGAAATAGATGATTATAGAGAAGGCTGGAGAAGAAAAAAAAGGAGAGGTGGAAAAAAACGGTGTAATGTGGATGCGCTTTCAGTCATGCCCGCCTGGATGCGAGTGGTTAGCAGAGCTGGCATCTTTTGTTCGTCAGTTTCCTCTCCCTCAAGAGTCACACGTACAGCATACACGAGATAAGCAGCATGTTTGGTTTTGACAGAAAATAAAAAGAAAAAAAGATAATTCCTCAAAGGACAAACAAGTTCGAAACAATGATGATGAGCGTTGGTCACTGTACACAAAGAAAGCCCCAACTTTACGGCAATCCTGGTTTGGTTGTTCCATTTGTTCCTCTTCTTTGCAATGGTGGATGTTAACACCGAAGCCCCATGATGCAATGGTTCCAAAGTGAGGAGTGATTGTAAAAAATCATGGGACACAGTTGTCATTTCTCCCGCCTTGACCACCTGCAAGACGAGTCAGCTGCAGCTTCTTGCAACAGCGGACGTTTTCCCCGATTTCTCTGGTGACTTTTCAGCATCACTGTGATTGCCTGGCTTGGGAGACTGATTTTACAGAAGTTCACAATTCATGAAACTAACTGATCGTCAGATATGTGTAGCTGCTTTCTTCACGACAACCGCTGACACTGCCTTCTCTAAGCTCTTAGCACTTGAGAACACGCAGTTATGTGATGTATACTTCAATAGTTGAGTGTTTTGCCACACCACACAAATTATGCATATCATTAGTGGAACAGTGTAAAAAAAACAAAACTCAAGGTTTCTTTGATGCCAGATGGTAGTGTTCTCGTGCCATTAATGATTCCACTGTTTCTATTTTTTTTGTCTTACCAGAGTTTGGGGAAAACCATTTCTGTTCACACAGGCAAGAACAATTTGGTCATTTCTCTGGATATCACTCACAAAATGTGTTGATAGAAATACTTTAACCCCCTTTTACACCCAGGCATATCAAAAAAACAAGAAAGTCACCTCGTCTTGGCTACATCCATCTGCCTCTCAATGATTTTCTCTGTTGCCTTCTCCTTCATTATCTGTTGCTTGTTACCGTTGTATCACGAAGATATTTTTGAGAAGAAAAAATGTCCACGAATGTTTACAATGTCCTCCACATTGAAACACTTGAGGTAAGGTAAGCAGTCTGACACTTTGATCGATTCCCGCCCCACAGCCTGAGCCACAGCATCTGGTTCCTCTCCTGACGAGGATTTTCTTCTCTTTTCTGGATGATGGGCAATTTTCCTCACTTCCTCATGAAGGGTCTCTTAGTCGAATTGGAATTATTCTAAACTTGTTGGTTGGGCGTCGTCCTCTAAAAATCTACAATAGGATCCTGGTTTGGTGTGTCTGAATTAGGGATGGTGTTACTGTCGTCTGCTGTTGTTATTTTTTTCAAAGTTTCTATGGCTCAGGAGACTGTTGAGGGGGGCGGCAGGATTCTGGGGGAAGAGATGGCTTTTTACGTTGCATAGTGATCAAAGCTTCCTAAATACTCCAGAGCTGCATGATAGCAGAACTGGTACTCGTCCTGTAGGGAAGAAACACACACATACACAAAAAAATACATCAGAAATAAATCTCACCGGCAGTTTAAATAGTTTGCTATGATAATGAAAGATTAACAATTTCAGACAACTTCTAATAAAAACAAATTAGTATTTATAAGTACATATTATAAATTAGATAACTGGTATTTTAAACCTTAAGTACATTACACAGATATTAAGACACTACATTATATAAAGGCTCTTTAAACAAATTTGTGTTGTTTTTCCTCCAAACTACATTAAACTATAGTACAATTCCTTGCTTATGTTTTTGTGTGTGTGCTTTGACCTCTGACCTCAGTCTGGACCATGGCTGGCCTCTGTGTCCGGAGCATCTTTACTGTCTGAAAGATATCAACCACGCCTTCATAGCGCATTCGCTCCAGGACGATGCTGAGGGTGATGAAGACTCCCGTCCTGCCCACGCCAGCACTAGAAACACATTACGACAAAGTGAATAAACAAGTATGTTATACTATAGCCTTGCATTCACATAGTGGCTGAATGGTGAATCTTAATTTGCACCAAGTAAATATGTGTCTCTCTGTTTTGTCTTGACACTGCCCGAGGTTCTCTAGTCCCTTCCCACATATGTACTTTTTAACTTTATGACTCTACATTCGTTTAACCTAAGACCTGAAAATAACAGGCATCTTTAAATAACTTCAATCCCAAATTTCCTCCAAAATGCGTGCTACATCTACAACAGGAATGTGTTGTAAAGCCAGAAATGGCGGGATAACGGTGACGATGGAAAGGACGCAATCTGCATGTTAGAACTCTGTGATGTGGGACCGAATTCCCGTCAAAGACTAAATGAGCCCTCAAGGACACAAAAAAACATCACGCACACAAACAACCAAACATTTTGTCTCATTAAGCCCAACCCATGTGTCGAAAAAGTCAGCCTGCTGCTGCTGCTCTCCAGAAATACAGTCTGAGTCTTAACTCAGATCCTGAAATACTTGAGAGCTGCCTCTCTAAGCTGCTTTGCTGTGAAATGACTTCCACTTCACCAATGGAACAATAATTGATATGACAACAGATTTATTTGGGCTTCTTCCAGCCTCCGATGCTATTTTGTTGAGGGAATAGTGAAAGCAATGGCTGCTAGCAGACACTTTTGGTTTGTGTGTGTGTCAGTTGGGGACAAAGCTAGACTTGGAACAAAAAATGACTTGTATCATTTGACAATAAATTAAATGATATCAAACACAGTTGTTATTGAGCCTAATCATGTAGAACATACGACCACCCACTGCCAACCCCCCCGCCGAAGTATCGCTCAGCCCACCCAAAGCCTCTTCCTGGGAGTCGGTCACAGCTTGTCACATGGACTCTTAAACTCACTCAGAGCTCCTCTCTCTCTGTCTCTCTCCTTCTCTCCGCCCCCCCTCTCTCCAGGAAGATCGACTCTCTAAATCTGAAGGCTCGCCGAGCCGCTGCAGACTGAGAGGATTTGGTGTCCCCATTCACAGGAAGTAATCAGGCAATTAATGACAAAAAGCATGTGGGTCTATTAGATAGTGGCTGAGGAGGAGCGAGGAGGAGGAAAAAGAAAAGAGCTGGGAGAATGGATGGATGCAGAGGAAGAGAGAGAGAGGGGGGGGGATTAAGAAATAGACAGAGGGATGACATACGGGGAATGCCAGTGACAGAAGACGAAAGAGTAAGTGAAAAGGAAGGCATAAGCTCTCCACTCGGAGATGAAAAGCCTGAAGGAGGAGGGAGGGAGGAAGAGGAGGACAGGGAGGAGCAGGAGGTGGCTATGGTAGTGACAGAAACCAACCAAAGCTTTCTTTACTTTTTTTTTTTCTTAACCACTACTCAAGAGAAACTTCTTTCAAAAATAATCTGCCTTAAAACAAAGTGACACCTACTTTTGAGAAAATGACTTGATAAAAAGTACAAAATTAACTCAAACAATTTAAAAGGACTGCAGGTAAGTTAAGTACCGTATTAACTGGACAAAACTCTAGCGATTTACCACACTACAGGCTGCAGACGTTCTGTGTTAATCCTCTTACGATGCTCCAAAAATCAAATCAAGTTCACTGAGATGTGTCAAGCATGCCAAAACTGAGCATTTGGCAGCTGAATACAACATAGTCATGTGACTCTTGCAGTCCAGTTTAATAGGCTGTGTGCCTTTTCGACCATTACTACAGTCCTGCAATTCCTTCTGTAAGAATGGATCCATTTACTTAGACAGCTCTCTCCACCTTCAATAATGGCCTCATAGAATGGAGGAATAACTCAGTCTTATTGGAGCTTCCCTGACACTCTTACAACTCCCTAGGGGCCATTTGATGGCTGGTGACATCATTGCTTTTTAACACAGGGGAGGTGATGTTATATTTGATGATGTCATGGCGCCTGTGCAATAGAAAATGTGGAGTAAAAGTGAAACAAACTATGTTCCAAAAGAAAACCATTCTGTGTGTTCATACCTTTGTTTGTCAACACAACCACATTCAAATGAACAGTTCAGTTCATGAACATTTGAATAGTTATCCTTTAAGTTTTTTTCTGAATGCCAATCAAACCATGAAAAACCAACTTCTAGACATTTCTTTTTTTCTTCACTAGTCTTGCAGAGCATACAAAAACAGGCCTCTCAAACATGTCCATCGTCTGGCAACAAAAAGTAACAACTCATTCCGATGAACCCCACTCAAGGTCAACCAATGAATTATGTGACTCCCTGTGGGGTCAGGAGTGGGTGTGGCCGATCTCTTTCTTCTTTGTATAGGAAAAGCTGATTGTGGCAACTCTGGGCACCTGGGCTAATTGCCCTGTAGGCTATTTGTAACTCTGTCTTTTAATTCTGCAGGAGGTCGCTGCTGGGCTAAGGACGGACGGACGGACGGACGGACGGACGGACAGACGGACCGACCTACCTCTCTGCTAACTTGCTACCATCTGTTTCCCTCCACAGGTTCCACCTTTGTCTTGGTTTCTGGACATGTTGTTTTAGTTGATAGTTATTATTTATTGCACATTACAACACCCTCACACACATTTTCATGCATCCATCATCCTAACCTGACTGAAACCACTTATATTCATACCCCATACTTGTTCACCTTTACTTTGGCACCAGCCTTAATTTGGTTAATTTTGGTTTAAATAAACATATTTTGTTAACTTCTACCATGGTGTGTCTCCCTTTTGTTATGGCCTTTTGAGCCAGGTCATAACAGTTAGAAGAATTGGGGGTCTTGGTGTTGACCACTACTAAATATTGATTTCTACTGAGTCCAGCATGCCAAGTTAATGATGAAGGTTACCTTGGAAGCTACACCCGAGGTGATGAAAAATGCATCATGGAGCTATCATAAAAACCAAAAAGAATGGCTGTATCATTTCATGTGCCTCCTTTTTGCAAATGCCAAGCCGCATCTCAGCCTTATCAATTATGGAGGAGATGGGCCTGTGGAGGTAGTGTACTGCGGTGGCAAAAAGGAGAGGAGGGATCGTATCTGATGATACCGTTAGAGTTGCACCACAGGAGCTGCTGCGCTGCAAAACAATAACCACCTAAAGAAGTGATTTAATCTCGTCATGATACTTAAGGCCTTATGTCTCTTTCAAGAAGGAAAGCATGTCTTTGGACTGCAGTTTGAGACAAACATCTTGCAGTGCCTGAAAATACTGCATATCATACCCTTCTTTCAAGAAAACCTTTATTATAATATTATGTCTATTATAATAAGTGAAATGTATTTACTGCTGTGCAGTAGAGAAATAATGGTGCAACATGAAGGTGATAACCCTTACCTGCAGTGGACAGAGATTGGTCCATCCTGTCCAAACTGCTCCTTGGTTTTATGCACCTGCCCAATGAAATCAATGAATCCCTCTCCAGATTTGGGCACACCTTGCTCTGGCCAATCAGTAAACTGGAACTGCCTTACTGTCCTGGACTGGCCATCCTGCAAATACAGCGAAAAGAAAGCGAGAATAGAAGATGGAGAATGTAAATCATGTAAAGAAGCAGAGGGGAGAAGGCATCTGTAAAAGCAAGAAGAGGAAATTAACCTCTACCTGGAAAAAACAGGTCAGAGAGGATTCTTTGTTCACGTTTTTTAGAATAATTTAATTGCTTTTAGAGCTTTACGGTCAGATTTCAATCCCACCCAACCAACCCACACTCTTTGGATCCTTCTAAGAACATAATGCAAATACAAACCTTTAAAAATAAAATAGTATTTGGCAATGTTTTTAGTTTTAGTTATACAGCAGAGATAATAAACATAATAAATGTACAATGACGCCACAGAGGGACAGTGTGTCCTCTCCTCTCCCACCCTGTTCCTCTACCTCCAAACCAATTGTCTCTATTTTCTCCCATCGTGTTTTTTTTCAGTGTGTGTGCAAGCTTGCGTGCATGTGGGATGAGTAGGTCCTAGTTAAAGCTAATCAATAGTGTATCTGCCATGACAAGCGTCTTCTCCCAGACACCATGTTGAATAGGATAATCCTGTGGTGCGATCGATAGAGTGACCTGATGGATGAGCAGAGCGATGGAGGTAAGAAGCAAGAACCAAGGACTAACGAAGAGGGAGGTGGGATTGGACGATGAAAATTGAAAACAAAAACACTGACACACCGACAACCCCTGCAAGACAAAATGTCAATCTTAGCATTTTAATCTTATATTGATTTGTATAATCTTGTTTTAGTGGTGCAATTAAATTTTTTTTTTTTTTATCAGGTCACACTAGGTCAAGTGAATGTGCTTTATTTTGAGAGAGCTGATTATATCAAGTCTGAAAACACACAGTCAAAATGTGTGTCCTCATTAACAAAGTTCTTTTCAAGTTGTCTTTGAGAGAATATTTCTCAAGAAAGTGAGGAGAAAGATGCATTTTTGCATTTTGAGACAGGCTGTCCACTTGATTCTAGCAATTAAGACAATGAGGTGTTCATTTCTCCAGTAGTTTCTCACTTCTCTTCTACAACAGACTTCCATTTAGACATGATGTGTCACTTTCACACATTCTCTTCCCATTTGTTCACACTGCAAAGGCATAACTCGATCAATACTCAGTTGGCGAGGAAACTGGAATCTATTTGTCCTTTTTGTTAGCCTGCTATGAGGTGGTGTAGAATTATAAAATAATTTTGTCTAAATTGTGTTACAGAATCAATGTAATATGCAAGAATGTGAACTTACACAGAGGAAGACATATTTTCACATTTGTGAAACAGAATTATGTCGCACAGAAAGCAAATTTTCTGCACTTCTTTGAGTAGCTTGATAGTACTAAACAAATTACATTTATGCACAGAGCTGGTGAATTGTTAGATAGAAAAAAGGTAACAATCTGTGTATGCAATTTTTGTGTAATGGGCCTGCAAGCAACTGTCCACACTGTCACTAATGCTAAGTCATAAAAACACAAGAAACAAAAGAAAGAACTGTATATATTTATGGTGGCATTACATGCTTAGGATGTAACCATACAGCTAAATATTTGGATTAAAGTTACATTTGTCTCCTGAGGTAGATGCTTTGTAGGGTAAAGGTACTGAGGTGCTTTCTATTCTAAATAATTAATCATATAACAGGGGGCGGAGCTAGACTTTCAGCAGTGGGGGCGGAGCTTCATCGTGGGCCCACCTGCTACAAAGTCATATTAACCAAGTTTACATGACCCCACAGAGTCTGTCTGCTTCGCTGCTGCCGGAGCAGCCTTTTTACTAAATTTTTGTGCTTACACCAGAAGTGCTACAGTGCGTCCATAGACTGAGTGCGTCCAGGAAGCTTCCCAGCGTCAAGCAGCACAGCGCAGATAACCAGGCAGGAAGTCAGACACAGAAACGGCAGAGAAACTGTCAATTTTCAAAATAAAATACCCGTTACAGACTTCCGATCGTTTATCAACAACAAACACAGTTAAATCAGACAAAAAAGAACATTTTTACTACGTACCCAACTTTATCATAGTAGAATCACAAAAAGCAAGCCCTAATCACCAAATCAATAAACATGTCGGCAAAGTCCGGCAGGTAAAACGCTGTTATTCTGAAATGCTCCCTGTGGTAGTTGCTAAATGCACACGTCAAGACGAGAAACGAAAGCGATCCACAGAGAGCTTTGAAGAATGTAGTAGAAGCACAAAAAGGACAATTAAAAACAAGTCATTAACGCGGCGCAGGCTACACGCTTCGCTGCTGAAATGCTTCTGAGAGGCTTCCAGTGGAAGTTGATGCCGTAAATAAACCGCTGCGCACACGCAGCCTACATCCGTCCCTCAGAATTCCCATGATGCATGAGGGTAAAGGGAGTTTTGTTAAAATGTGATAATAAGTTTTGTTTGAAATACAAATGCTACTTTAGGATTTATCTTTATTAATACGTGTCTCCTTTGAATCTAATGTGATTATTGGTAATTGTCATTGTTGCTGAATTCTCCCGGTACATTGAATCGTCATATGCCGTTGTTGTTTCTTCGTGTCCACTGTAATCAGCTGAGCTGAACTTCATAGTCCACGTAGTGGGCCCCCTACCAATGTGGGCCCTGGGTCCGTCGCCCCCCATGCACCCACTACCTCCTCTTATGCATATAACTGATTACTGACTACCCACACTGGCTGCGGGATAGAAATAGCTCATAATTAATTTTCTCTTGTTTCAAGGTATCGTCCAGGCCAGCAAGCTCTTAAACAATGGATGACTGGGGATAAGAATAGTATCATGTCAGAACAGGGGATGCCAAAAAAACTACAAAAACTTTATATACTCTTTTAATTTGGCAGTGGCCCTAGAAAAGGTTACAGCAATGATCAAATTACCTCACAAAACTAATGATGGTTTCCTAAAGAGCTTTCTTTATGTGTTGCTCCATGTCAAAAATGACATCATATTGAGGTAATAGTAAATGTGAAAATGTGTGGATGTAAACAAGTACCTTAGGCTCTATATTCATCATGGGTGTTATCATGGTGGCTGCGCAACATTCTTATTCATTATGATTTTTGCCATGAGCTAATCATTCCCCTCTACTGCTAGTATGCCAAATGCAGAGGGTGACTGAACGCTGAATGTACGACATATGCAGCTATTGCATGTAAAAGGATATACATAATCTGTCTATTGAATCCTTGTGCTCTGAATGTAAAGTCCTGTTGTCCCATGTGCCAGTAGGCACTGTGTTGCCATCTTAGCTGTTGATATATTTCTGCACCAATGCCGCCAAGATGTATTCTTGTACATTTATTGTACTTGACAAATATAGTGCATTGGATTCTAATAAGTTAAGCTCCATCTACAGACTCTCTTTGAACGACATTTCATGTCTCGTTCCCTGTTTTATGACGCGTTGCATGTTTTATTTCTTTTGTTGCCTTTGTTTTTCATCTCAAAAACATTTTGCCTCAGCAGGAGGATTAAAAGTGAAAGAGGGGCAAAGACAACAACACAATAAACCAAGCACGCCGAAGAAAGAGAGGCAAGAAAGAAAAGAGAGGAAAATTTAACACACAACCTGAGGGCCCACGTGGCGTGTCAAATTGTGTGATTAAATACGTGACTGGCTCGCTAGATGTGAGTGTTGAGGCGTGGAGTCTGTGCTATTACTGTGCAGAGGCATGCAACACACACACACACACACACACTTAATCCTACATACACGAACACAAACAGCCATGTACATCTACATGATCTATGGAATGTGGGGTTAACCCCTGTTTACATACACTCACATGCATAAGCTATCAGTAATGTTAAAATGTACAAATCTACACACACAGCTGCACATAGTGCTTCTTAACAGCTACATATATAGTATGTATCTTTATTAGTATATGTGTTTCCTTAACTCTGATGATAAGCTTTGACTGTCAGCCTGTTTGCTGCCACTGTATGCTTAGATTACGCATAATCTTATAGGTAGAGTAAGCGATTCTGGAGAAATCAAACAATATGATATAGAGCGTACAACTAACGTTAGCTAAGTTTTGGGTAAGCATACTGTTATTAGTTGCTGCTGCAAAGCTAACATGCAGAGAGGAAAAGATGGTCCTAGAGCCCAGCTCCAAACAGCGATACTTGGAACTCTCCTGCTACTATAGCAACAACAGCATGTCTTGACAAACTACAAAGTAAGCTGAATGTCCGTGGGCATTCACTTAACGTTATTTGACACACAAATAATGGCTGAAACGACTCGAGTAGTGTTTTGTAGTCCACTTTGTTTGTTATCCATGTTTGTATCAACACCAATTTGGGCATTTTAACACGGGGGTTTAAGGGGACTTGCTTTTGGAGCCATTAACAAGTGGCCATTGGAAGAACTGCAGTTTCTAGCACCGTGTGTGTATATTTGTGCTGAGAAGAGCAAATCTGCATGGTTTGTGGCAGAAAATGAGCCTCTGCATCATACACAATAATGTGTGTATATTTGAGCTTGTAAGAGAGACATTTTAAACACTGCACAGGGTTATGTATAAAGAAAAAGTGTGTGTCAGGTTGTTTGTGTATATGTAGGGTTGTTGGCACACCAGCTTAAACAGCATTTATGTCTTATTTCTACGCTGTGTCTGTTTGTGTATTAAGTGTATGTATGTGTGTATATATGTGTGTGTGTATGTGCAGAGATATAATGTATTCATTTTTTAATAGGGTAGGATGACTGCTAACTAGCTGCCACATCCACCCAGGAAATCATTGGATATGTCAGCCTGTTCGGCAAAGAGAGGAAGCAGTTTTATTTCTGCACTACAGTCCTGCTGCTGCTTCAAACTGACCTAATTGGATGAAAAAAGTACAATAGTGTAGAGTAGGTTATAGCTACTAAATAACAGTTCAGGGCAAGAAAAGTCACTTTGGTTGTGAACTCTCATTAATATTTGAATGTTACTTCCAACATAATGTCAACATGTAGTTTTGTGTGAAAACCCATCTAACTACAGAGAAAAATTACAATATCAAAGCCAGGACTTTTCAGGAGAAAAAAAAACACATTTACTTGTGACATTTCTGTGTTTAGGTGACCTACTTTCCATAAACCTGCTTAATCTCCTACATTTCCCACACTTCAATGAAGGTGGTTTTCCAGTGCAATTGTGGAAATGACAGTATAAGTTGGTACTGCATTGCATTCCAGCCTTTTGAGGTTACTAAATGGTGTCTCTGTACAATGTTATAACAAACAGTTATTCACAAGCAATACACTGGTCCTGTATTGCTTCTGTAAGTCAGTATAAAATGGAGAATTCATAAAGTGTTATTTTAATTACAGTTTGTTAAAAACAGTTTATAATTACACTGGTCTAAATGTGCTGCTTGTTCCCACCTCGCAACCAACTATATCATTCCCAGGTATGTCTTACCCTGGCGTCTGTGACCTTGAACTCTCGAAGGATGTACTGGGGCATGTTGTACTCTGCCATGGGATCAACCACAAAGTACTGGTACCTGGCAGAGCGCTCTGCCGGCCAGTACTGATGACACTTTTCCTGTATGAGCAAAAGGGTAGACAAACCATTGTTAATTTATATTTAGACAATTATGTTTTTCATTTTATTTTTATTTGACTCTATCAATGAAGTTAAGACACAAGACAAATTAAATAATTGTTTCCATGTGTTTATATCCTACCCGTCCCATCTCTCTCAGTTTGGTCAACATGACTACAATAGTAGAGTTGTTTTCCCAGAGCATTCTCCAGAAGTCCTCTGTAGTCTCTGCCAGAGGGCCCTGCGTTGCAATGTAGGCCTTCTGTTGCCTGTATAAAACCATATCAAAACAAATTAATAAAAAAAATATTTCTGTTTTTTAAAATTAGTTAGAACCACTTTTAACACCCCTGATGCAAATTCTGGGAACATTTAAAACGTTTTTGCTGATACTTGGCATCACCTCACGCACACCTCTTGCTTGCATTTTTCCGGCTATCGCACCCCTCTTCCTACCTGTATCCATCAATGAAGCTGGAATTGATGTAGTCCGATCCTTCCAGGCCTCTGATTGGCTGCAGGCACACGCGTGTGGTCTCGTACGGCATGATGTTGACCAGCCGATTCTTGAACTTGTTGCAGGGAAGGTTGGCACTGATGAAACGCGATGTGTGGGCTTTGGAGTTGGCCAAACGCTGGAGAGGAATGGGGGGAAAGAATGCACAGACAGATAGTGAGGTAAAAAAAAACATACAGAAGGAAAAAAGTTACACAGAGCGTGTGAAATGAAAGGTATGGAGGAGGAATAAGATGAAAAGAAGACGAAAAGTACAGTGGTGAGGGGAAGATGGAATGAATTGGCAAAAGCCACGGTAGTTACAAAGAGGAAAGAACAGGCATGAAAAGAGAAGAGAGAGGAAGGAAGAGCAGGAGAGGATAATAAAAGGAGGAGAGACGAGGAGGGACGGGAGGACAGGTGCGAGACAGATCAAGAAAAGAGTATATCAATGACAGAAAGTAATAAAGCGAACCCAATCTAATCTGTTTTACAGATGATGGCATGGCTTCAAAGGGACATTGTTTATCAAGAATACATTTATCGGAAAGCAATTCAAAAACTTTATCCCCTTTTGCAACCTGTGAGGTCCTGCAGGGTCAGATTCAATGATGGAATATATACCACACACCCAGTCTAACAAGCCTCTGGATCAAGTCTCTGTGAAACAGAAAACTCGTCTAAAAGTAGGTCACCGCTGCCTTTGATAACGGCAGTGTGGTATGTGTGCATAAAACATACACTCACACAGGGATGTTCAGAAAGACAAACACACACATGCACTGCATAATGATCAAAATGTAAAGCTGTACTGCTACATCATCATCGTAATAGGGACCCTCAGTGGGAGTTCATGGGTCAGCAAATCTTATGATCGCTTCCTCTTGGCTTCACTGTCTCAACAAAGAATGGGTGTGTGTGTGGGTGTGCGCGCCTGCTTGTTAGCGTTTCCCTGCAAATGGAAGACACCCTCATCAGATTGTTTAGGGCCCCTTTCAGACAGAGAAAAGCATGGCGAGCCGAAGACACTAGCAGCATTGCAAAAGGGAGGAGAGAGAGATGAGTCGCAACTGACCCCACAATGTACTCAACGCAGATTTATTTCCTGGACTCCTTGTCTCTCTGTGGTTGTCAAAACAGTGAAAGTGTTTCTCTTAGAATGTCAGTGTGTACAGGGCTTCACTTACCATTTTGCTATTTTTCCTATTAGAGCATCCTATCTTTCCCTCTAATTCCCCAATAGCACCAGTATCTCTGCATCAGTGGCCACTTGGAGTTCATCCAGCCCTTCTCCTCCTCTCTTCCCTACATCTCTTGCTGCTGTCCTCCCTTTGATCTGTGTTTCACAAAGGCACCTGGAATGGCTTGTGGTGGCCTGGCATCGCTAAAGAGGCCCTCAGCTACACCACCAAACACTGCTGAGGGTGCAGGGAATGGAGACAAACCTGGAAACCTCTCATCCAACAGGGCAGAGAAGCATCTTGAGGACCTCTGGTCTGGTTGCCAGTTCCTCTACCATTTATCATGCAGTATATATTTTTACTTGGAAGGTAAGACCCGCTTATACATTAAGCATGTTACACCACAACAGGGATAATCACATATATCATCACCACAGTAATATGCTTTGGATTTGGCTACAGTGAGACACAATATCTTTGAGAAGTTTTTGTACACTCTCACCATAGTTTTTATTTAAAACCAAAGAGCATTTCTCATTTTCTGCTTCTGTATTCCAAATCATTCCTTTGGAATTTTATTAAGTTTAGTAGCCCAGCAGCTCTTCTTTTTGGTTCATGTTGGGATTTGTCCACTGTATGTTGCTGAATACTTCTCTTGCATGTTGGTTAGGTGCATTTTCACGACAAGTCCCTCTACTTGTCCCACCAGTTGCAGCTTAATTCTGTATGATGCTGTTTCCCCTGAGAATGACAATACCCTCCCACCCATCCCTTTAGTGCAGCATACTGTCAAATCACTTCCTTAGTGCCAAGTTAGCATACAGTCGTCCCTTTGTTCATTAGCCAAACGTTCCTCCCTCCACTTGCCCTGCCATCCACCTCCATTTGTCATCATCAAGTATTAATTACTTAGCTCCCCCACCCCTCTTCACACACCTTTCTTCTCTATCCTCACTGTAGTGTGGACGTTATTAATCCCCGTTTGACTCCTGACGCCAGCTCAGCATTATCCCTGTTACAAATGACGATAGAGATTCCATCACCTTTGGGCACCAGTGACAAAAAAAAAAAGGTTGAAACACAGCAGCACCATTATTGTTTCTTGGCGGGGGGCCCTGTTGGTGAATGATGATGGGAAGATGATGGATGATTTGAGAGTGAGGGTGTGCGGAATTCAAGGTCAGATGATACTGACTGGAGTGCTAAAGCTGAGGTGAGTTTATAAGTTGATGATTGTTAAGATCTTTAATGGAGATCTATGTAAACACTGTGCCAGGCTGTCTATCCTCACCTACTGCTTTGTCATGCATTTCGCTAAGAAAGCAGACACTCTTTCTTTCTTGAAGCTAAACTGAAATCCATGCTGCTTTCAGCTAAAATCCTTTGTCTTGTGCCTGCTAGATTAAACTCAATTTCTTTGCTTAAGCACATTACTCCAAATCCTCCTAAATGAACACTGTGGCTAAACAGGGAAGGGATTCAATATTTCCATTTTGAAGCTTTGCAACAAATACAATAATAATTCAAATAGTGGTATTTTAAGTGATTAACTTATTGAAGTGAGGCACAAGAAAGTAAAAAGCGAGCTGCTTTCCAGTTCATCTGAGATCCTATTACTTGGACAGCAGGTATAGTATAAACTCACAAATAGCTGCCATGTAAAGAAGGCTGCTTTAATTTATATTCTACTGACCTGGGCCTGAAAGGCATTACATCTTTAAGAGAAGTGTCCTTATGTGAAATGATTAACTCTTTAAGCGAACTGTATTATACACTTTGGTCATTCTGTTTCCATTATGTCTGTATGTATCAATGAGACATCCAACCTGCTTCTTGCTCTAACTCAATTTGTCTATAATTCTAGGATTTGCTGTAAACTGCATCTGCACTCGACTGAAATGTTATTCTCCCAGTTTCCCCAATCAGCTACCGTAATGATCCATTTTATGTCTTCCCTAGTCTTCTCATTTGGCTTCAGTTTCTTGCCAGACATACACTTGCTGGTCAAGAACCACAATATGTTTTGTTCATATTGTGGTTTTCATTTTTGCAACAAATAATTAACCACACAGCAAATAATGATGACAAGCAAAAAATATAAAAAGGCAAAGAAATTGGATTAACTTCTAGGAAGATGAAGCTGGCAGCAAGCCTCTTTAAAAGGTTTACAGTTGCTTAAGATAAAAGTCAAAACTATGCATTTATGTCGTTATTATTTAGTTATGATTAGGTCCAAAGACTAAAAACTTAATATAGACACTGATCTAACATGCAGCGGTCTTGGCTTCAGGTCAGCTATGCCTGAATTTGTGAAAACTCAAAATGGTTCACCTACATGCAGTCTGTCCTGTAATTTACATGTCAGATCCTAGGAGTAGTTAAAGTTAATCTAAAATACTTTGTCATACAGATGTAGGGTTTATTAGTGAAAAGAAGAAAGACCATTTAAAACCCTGTAATTTCAGTTATAGCAATGTACTTAAAAAATGGCCACCATGTTATTAAGGAAATTGCTGTACCTTGAACTCTAGCTCCATGCCAGTGACGTGCTCGCCACTCTCCACCTGGGCCAGCTTCTGGATGTAGGAATATAGGCTCCGTGCAGCCACTTCAGTGTTGCCGCAGGCCACAGCCTCCAGCAGTGCATCGTGAATAAAGCTGTACTGGTCCTCCGTCTGCACCATGTAGTTCCGCTGTGAACGCATCAGCGTCACATGGCCGTAAATGTCGACAGTCTTCTCGTGCTTGATACGCTCAAGCATGGCGTCGATGACAATGAAGCAGCCTGTCCGACCGACACCCGCACTAAAGGATGAGGGAAAGGAATGAGAAGAAAGAGAAGTTTTTAAGAGGTTTGTTTAATAGAAACTCATTTTTTATTTCTATGATCTTAGGTCCTCTGGATGTAGTGGCTTTGAAAATGTAACTTTTTTTTTTTTTTAATACTGAGTGCTTGTCACATTTGTCTCTTGTAGGATTTTAACACGAGGTTATTATGTATGTTCAGTAATGCTTGTGGATTTGTTGTGGCTCTCCTACTCAAATAACTGAGTAGGAAAGAAAACAGAGCGATATAGAGATAGCTAGAGAGGGAATACAGAAACAGATAAAAATGACAGAACAAGAGGACACTGATGGAGACTGAGTGATGCAGGCTGTCAAATTTCAGTTTTATTGTTTAGTGCTTTGGATTCACTGAAGTCTTCTTATCTTGGCAAAAAGGAGGGTTTCAATTTGTATAAGCCATTTGAGATATATCGCTTGTAAAAGGAGGAAGAGCTAAGGAGCAAAAAGGGAGAAGCAAGAAAGATGGGAAGGGATTACTGTGAGGCTTTTCACGGAGAGGGAAAAAAATATACAGAGGTGGAGAGAATAAGCACAGAAAAATAAGTGATGCCTTAAAAAGAAAGATGATGTGACCAATGGAGAAAAGAAAAGATGGAGGTCTGGTAAGAAATAGAAGCCTGTGTTTTATAACGTATGTTATGTAATGTATAATAGCAGTTACAGAGGAGCTCTACCATTCTGTTCGCTCATGGGCACGCACACACACCATGGGCAGGGGCAAAAATTAAAAAAGGGATCCCTCTTCCATGTGTAGGGTTAGGCTTCATTCACTCTAAGGTCACACCAGAGTCACATGGAGCTAACCACAGGGGCACATAAAACTGTCCAACTTGGGCACAGACATTCAAGTTACATAAGTATAAAAACAGAGCACTTTGGATCTCGGAGCAAAAAAAAAGAAGAAGAAAAAGAATACTATTATATACATACACACACATATACATACACACACAGTATATATATATATATATATATATATATATATATACACATACACACACACACAGTATATATTTTTTTTTAACCAACCCTAACAACAAAACATTGCTACTGACCTGCAGTGGGCAATGATGGGTCCGGCGTCAGGCGGATTGCAGGTCTTCACCCTACGGAGGAAGGCCAGGAAGGGGGTTGGGTACTCTGGCACACCGTGGTCAGGCCACGCTGTGAACTGGAACTGACGAACCTCCCGCTTCTCACTAGAGCCATTCTGGAAAGAACAGAGAAAGGTGGTTTGGATATGGTGGTGGAGTTGTTGTGTTTGGAGTGACTGGTCAACAAAAAGAAAACAAAATGGAGTACGTGTGCTGCTTTTGCAACATGGCTGGTGTAGTCATGGTGCACTCTTCAAGGCATTTTAAGGGTTATTGATGTTATGTGATGATCAACTCTTTAAGGTATTACCACTTGCCTTCAACCCACCTAATCTACTGGATACTTTTCATCTGCCCCCATAGTACATGTTTAAACAGTTGAGTGACTGAGCCCAACATTTTAGGCCTGTACTGTACAAAGACTATGCCTCAAAACAAAGATCTCTTTAAGCCTTAATATCTCCTACAAAAAATAAATTCTCATGTGTAGACAGGCAGGTTTGCACAAGTTACTCACCACTGTATTGGTTTGTGCTCATGCCTACTATCACATTTGTACAGAAACCTGTAGAGACGGTGAGTCAATCAAACTTAAAATATATTTTTTGTGCACTATTTCTCAAGATGGTGTAATTTTCACTGTCACACATATAGAGCTGATCAGATGGGCTTATCATAATATAACAAGTACAATAATTTCTATACTGAACTGTACAGGTATTCCATCTTCATGTTCTCACGCTGCAGTTGCTCTGAACATCTACAGATACATGCAGCAAACACCCACATTACACAGCCGTCTGTCAGCTCCCACCTCAAACTCAACTCTCAACGTATCAAAGATACAAGCTGGGATCCAGAGGAAGATTTTCAAGAAGGATAAGAAAAAAGAGAGAAAAAAATGCGTTTTTCTTTCCTCCTCTCCTCTCTTTCCTCTCAGAAGATCCTCTAATGGAGTTACTGTTTGCATTTCAATGCAGTGCTTCTGCTTCTGACCGAGGGATTTTTCCCCCTTACTGAATAAATGAATAAATGAGTGTGGTAATTAAAGGCAAACTGACCTAAATCTTATTTTCCCTTTTTTTTTTTGGACATTCCCTGTTTCTGCCGTTGAGTCAGGCTACATGGATGTGATTAGTGCTTGGCTGCTGGTTTTCTTTAGATGTAAATTTCTTTTGTAAAGGATTTATCACTAGAGACAATTCTGCATCACTGCAGGACATGTGTACATATGGATAGGTACCACAGTGGCTGCTTTGTGGATGCTCTACTGCATCTACTGCCAATTTCTGCTACCTTATACTTCACACAAATCCAACACCATATTTTTTTCTCAGTGATATAAAGTGAAAACAGCTCAGCTCAGCAATGGCTGCAGTTAGGAGGAGGAGGGAAAGGAGTGATAAAAAAATAATAATATCTGTAGGTTTGATGGAGGCTGAGAGTGGCAGAACCTACATGGCCCTGACTGTCAACCAGCAAGCTTTAAAGCACTGTGGCTGCTGATATCTTGCTATCTTTACCATCACTGATTTGCTCTGGTGCTCACTGTTCCACTGACAGTCCAGCTAAAAAGTCAGCTGTGACTGAAGTGTGGTACTATCTGGATAAAAGGAAAATTCTGGAAATGAGAAATCCTTCCAATGGTAGGTTCTCTATATGTATTCTCAGAGGTCTTTCTCTTTACAACACAAGTATTTGTATGATCATGATGTGTGTGAGACTGTGAGAGAGAATGCATCTGCATGTAAATGTACTGGTGTTTCTTTCTTTCTTATTTTTTTCCTGTGTCTGTCTGTATCTAAATGCACTTTAATGTGTATTATTCATGTCTGCAGGTGTGACATCATGTTTTTGCATATGTGCAAAGGTATGTAAATACACGTATTTGGATTTGTGCCTGTGTTTGTGTGCGACCTTCGCTCTATTGTGTTGTGTTTAATCTTTCAGTATGAGTGTGCAGGTAGGCTTGCAAATCCCTCATCTTGAGAATGTTGTCATTTGTGTGGGGACTGTGTGGTGTGTGCGTGCGCACACAGGAGAATGAGAGCAGTCTGCCAATTATGTATATTAAATTTCTCTTCTGTTCACTTTACTTAAGTGCTCCAATTTGGCAGATGCACATAAATAGATGATCTATTGATGACATGGAGAGTTAAACAAGGTAAAATGGGTTGTCTGGAAGGACAAAGTGGACAAAGGGTTATGTATAGGCCTTTACATCAAATGGAAACAGCCTGTGGTTTATGCCATCATGTTTGTTGCCTATGTAAACTTTGTGTGTGTGCCCTGTGTTTACTGGACAGACGCTGAATAAGCATATTGATATTCATTGTTATCCAACTTGATAATAAATATAATGGCTGTATTTTATTTGCAAAGTGAAGATGTACATATTGTATGTGTATGTTTGATATGTGTGTCTGAGAGAGAGAGAGTGAGAGAAAGATAAATCATCCTACCTTGTGCAAGGAAAAAGTGCGGACACAGAAAGTGGCCAATTCTATGGTATCTAACAGGGTCACTTGGGTCATACCATAGGTTTCTGTGCCACGACTTGGCCAGTACTGGTCACACTTAATCTGGAAGAGAGAGAGGCAGAGGTATCAGTTGCAATGTCTATGTTGCATTCTATTAAATGGTGTCTCCAATAATGAATAGGATCATACACATAAATGGAGTACAGAAAAATTCAAATCATGCTCACACAAATACATGCACACGCACTACTCATAAAGCAAGCCCTCCTGTGAATTAAAACACCAGGCGGCGTTGACAGAAGCACCACGGTAGTGTCTTTTAAATATGAGAAACAACACTATGCAGACTGAATAGATGTAACCAGACCGTCACAGAAACTCCACCTTTAATAGTGTAACTTCACCAACCATACACAAATCCTGCCTGCATCAATTCTTAATTCATTATAAAGTGTTATCAGTTCAGATGCTCACAGAAAAAACTTATTCTTCTAAATGTTTAAGTGTAAAAAAAAAAAAGCCTTTGTCCAGTGATTCTACAGCATGTAGTATCTGAACTTGCTTACCCCCAGCCATCCCCTGTCAGCCCAGTTAATAAAGATTCATTCAATATGGGGTGTGATGCGCCAGCGGACATCAGATGAGATGTGACAGCTAGTGAGGGAGATGCGCTGCTCTCCAGCTTTCTCTCCCATTTCCTGCTCAAGCTGACACTCAGGTTCTACCGCCTGCTAATCCTGACCACGTTTGACAGGTGTGCAATGTGCACGTAAGCATTGGAGGATAGGTAAACAATTGAAAAGAGATAGAGGGAGGGAAAATGAGTGGAGACACCTAGGGTGAGTGAGCCTTATGTTGACACAGGTTTGAGTTGACAGGATGAAACATTATGGCTGGCTTTTTGACATTTAGTCAAGTGTGGTCCTTTGTAGCAAAAAATACAGTCTTAGCAGATCAATTCTAACGGTGCTCTCACACCATTTCGCTTAATTTTATGTGTTTTTTGCTCACCTGCATTTTCAGCTCAAAACTCTAAAAAATGGGTCATACTGTACGACAGGCACTTTGTTTACATAACGACTAGCTGTCACCGTGGGCAAATAGAACTGATATCCACCTGTCAAACACTTAAGAGACTTAAGAGCCAATGTGCTTTCTACTTAAAGTGCTGCTGTTGCCTTCTTGCTATAAAACCTTCTCTGTTCTTTGCTAGTTAGTTGGCTAACAAAAAAGTGCGAACATTATAGGCACAACTCAAGAAAGTTGGACTGTTCATAACTATAGAAAGTGTTCCTTTCCATCTCAAGGACACCAGGCTGAGCCCCTCCCAAAGAATCCACTTCCTGCACACTATGTGGCCACTTCTCATGGACACAAATTTATAAAAAGAAAACAAGTCACTGCGCTATCGATGCACTTTTCACTCTTACTTTCACTTTCAACAGATGGTTGTGGGAGGCACCGGTCACAGGTACTGCAAAATCTCCATGCCACTGTGTTGCTTAAGATTTAATTTTAGCTCCCTGCACTGTGCACTCTGAGTGCTAAAACTTGCTAAGCTCTCAGCACTGTAGGGAACATGCAACAACTTGTCTTTTCCACCAAAAATAGGGAGAGAAAACACAGCTAAGTCTGTGAAGATATTCCCAGTGGATGCACAGCCTAACTTTTGAGATGTGAACAGGTAGACCATCTTTGAGTTAACTCAGTTTTATCACCCCCCCCTGCTGCTTTCACCACCCCATCCAAATTACTACACTTCTATGAAAGCAATCCATCTCAAGAAAATAAAGTCTGATTACCTACCAATGAAGTTCTGGTGTGCAACTGGGAAATTACTGTAAAGCAGTGCAATATTCAGCAGCTGGTCTTGTACTTGGTCTTGGGAACAGGTTATTTGATTTGGAGGTTTATAAAAAAATATATATTTTAAAGGATTTGTGAATTTGTGAGGTCACTGGAGGGGAGCTTTAAAAAGAAACCTGCCAAAATCAATGCCCAGCATCAGTCCAACAATTGGTGGAGTGGACTTACCCGTGACTTTTCCTCCAGCCTGGTCATCATGACCACAGTGGCAGCTCTCTGTTCCCACACCATCCTCCAGAAGTCCCCGAATGTCTCTGGTAATGGACCCTGGGTGGCGATGTAGGCATTCTGCTTTCTGTAGCCATCAATGTAGTTGGCGTTGATATAGTCACTACCCGTGATACCTAGATACAGACCACAGGAAAAAAAAAGAGATGGAACATTGCACGTTGATTTAATCTACCTAACATTTTTATTATTTTACTTCATTCATTATTTGGACCCTTATATTTTGTACCATCTGCCTCGGTAATTCCCACTTTTCACACACACTGATCCCCAATCAGTGAAGGTACTTATTACTTATTACTTAATTACTTATGTAATAAGTTCTCACACTTCTTATTGTTGTAACAAGTGAAAATTGGCCGAGATCAGTGAAAATTTTGCAATTGTCCAGAGAGAAGTAGCAGTGTCTTAAGATATGGCTGATCATGTCAGCTTTTGGGACTGGGATGTATTCTAGGTATTATTCTTGCTCAACAGAACTTGGTGCTTGTTAACAATGTTTTAAGACATAATACAAGATTAAATGAGAAGTTAAAACAGTGTCACAGCCTTTCTCCCCCTCTGCTACCACGGAGCTGTAGGAAATCTCAGTTGTTGTTCCATTTGAATGGATTCAAATGCAGCAACTGCCTCACTGTCACAATATCCTGCGCTGCTCTTTCGTCATTTGCTTTTTCTACATCTGTGGTTCTGCCTAGGTTTCTATAGCAGTCTACATCTGATTCACCACCACAGATGGAGCATCCTTGAAGATGGAGGACAGCAAGGAGTAAATCAGCCATTCACTCACCACAGCTGTAAGGTAGATCCAGCTACCATCACTCTCAGCCCGCCACCATGCTCTGTTGCACACCAGTCCCACTAAATCTAGCTGTGAGAAAACTCTCCACATTGCTGAGTTAACGAATGTGTACTGCCAACATTTTAAAGCAAGGATAGTGTATATTACACTTGTAGGCTCTATCGCAAAAGCCTGCATCCACTGACTGCATGTGACTATCAAAGTATTCTGTGACGTCCTTTCATGCGTCTGCAGAAGTAACAGAAAACTTCAAAGAAAATATGTAGTTCACTGCAAGGCACTAGGCTCATGACATGCGGTACAAAACTGTCATCATGCTCGGATCTGAGCGAATAAGGGTGGTGTGGTAGTGTGGCCTGTCCTGCAGTTTGGTGCAGAGTCATTACAGACTCAGCAACTTTAAGTTGTTCTAGAAAAAAGATTTAAGATAAAATGTTGAAAATGTAAAACAAGATAATCTGCGATAAGAACGTCTAACACTTAGCATCTGACAGTGATAAGACAAAACATTGCCCATCTTCATTTAACCAACTTCTACAATCCTGTCAGTTGAAAGAGAGACTCCAGTGTGGCGGCATCTGTGCTGGAAAGTCACGTCTCTTTGACTGACGTTTCCTCACTCAAGCGACAAACAATGAAACACTTGACTGGGCTAATTTAAGAGAGAAGACGCAGTGAGGACAACAACCATGGTAGAGAGGAAGAATAAGATAGAGAAAGAGGAGTAGCGATAAAGAGAGGAACAGAGAAAGAGCGAGATTGGGGGAATAGAACAAAGAAAAAAAGAAGACAGAAAATAAAAGAAAACTGGAAATAAGCATTAAAAAATTAAGAAAAAGAAGAAAATGTCATTAAAACGGATACCACGTCGTGCAATCCAACTGTGATGCCTTGGCTTTAGTCATAGCCAAGTGAACAGAGAATGGCGGTGTGCATGAATTGTTCTACTGCTGCGACTAATAGCAAAATCACTGCAGTGTAAAATAGAAATTTCAGACTTGATTAATTTATGTATTTATGGACGAAGCATTTTTTCCCTGGGATAATTTTGTTATGCATGTTGTTGCACCCTCAAATTGGCCTGACTATTGTGAAATGTCAAAATCTAGTCGGAGCAGTTAGCTCACACAAAAGAAGAGTACTGTGAGTTTGGCACTACTGTGAAGAGTTGGGAGCTCTACTGGTGATGTAATGCCAGAACAATGTCAGCGGTGAAGGGTGACTACCTCTGACAATGTCCCTTGAGATTTAGGAGTCAGAGGAAGAGTTTTTCTGGCTCTGAGATTCTCAGTACTGTGTCTGTGGGCAGTTAGAGGGAAGTGGGGGGGGGGCAGATCTGATGAAACAAAGGGGACGGTGAAAACACTGGGTAAATCCTAGGTTTCTCTGAGTGTGAGATCTGATTGAGTGCTGGGCCCACAGATGAGCTCCAACGTCCATCGTCTAACCCTAAAAAATGATTCCTTAAACTGCTTAGCTGCTCAGGACAACGTTGAGTTCAAGCAAGTCCTTCGTTTAGCCTCCATCAAACTTCTGTTTTGCTCTATAAATTCCTGCTGAACTGAATCTGAACTTCACATATTATAAATAATTTCATTCTCTTTCACTCAGTGTTTCATTCTATTTTGCTTAATGCTACTGTCTTGACTCAAGACAATAATAATAATCCAGCACAATCCAGTGCATTTGTTCTTTCTTTTCTTTTATGTTCTACAGCACAATAAAATACAGTTTTATGTATTCTATTCTGCACTGCTCTGGTTTATTTTCACTGTCTAGTCCCATCTGTGCTAGTGTATGTCTACCCAGTACAAATTCATAATTACATGACTGTAATTATGAGGATTTCCCAAATGATCTGCTATGAGCTGATCTCATCTGTGAGGCGGTGTAGGTGCCGAGTGTGAGGATGGTTGAGACTTACCCTCGATGGGGGCCAGGATGACACGGGAGTGGTCGTAGGCGATGACATTGGCGTAACGATTTTTGGGCTTGTTCACCTCCAGGTTGGAGTGTTCCCAGGTGAACTGCTGGCCTGGATCGATGGACTGATGGAGGGCATAGACAGGCAGAACATGCACAAACAAAGAAGAAATCAAACGCGCCTTGAGAGAGGAGCTGAGCAATAACAATAAGACCTGAATGTTATCATAGAAAGTAGAGAGGGAGGGGGAAAGAGATTGAGGGGGTGATTTTCCCAAAGGCAAAAATTAACATGGTATCATGAAAATCTGCTCAATGCCTGCTTTAAATACTCACAGCAGCTGCACACAGTACTTTATCAAGATCATCAATGTAGTGGGTGCATAATGAAAAATAACAATATTGATGAAGGTGCGCGGCTCATCCCCTTGAGGGGAGGGTGTGGAGCAAGGCCCGACACTCGGGTGAAAGACAATTTCATCCGCCTCTTTAAGTACAAGAATTCCAGATAAATATTTTGTTCCCCCGTCAGGATAATTAAGTATTCCATTACAATGCATTGTTTGCTATCAGGCGTCTGGTACTCTGTTGGTGTGGGGACGGAGTTGTGAGGGATATTTGCAGTTAGGGCTTCAGTATATAAGGTGTGACGCTGGAGAGAAAGACTGAAGGTGAAGAAAGTCTAACTGGAAACCTGATCTAACATTTTCCATGCAATCATAACAGCAATCAGATCTCCTCTGCTTCTGCCTTTTTCCATCGCTGTTGTTTTTCTTCCTTGCTGCAGTCTTGTCCATTTCCCCCTTTCTTTGTCCCTGTATTCCTTTTCTGCATCGCTCCATCTTCAAAGTCTTCCACTATTTCTTTCTCCATCTCCCGTCTCCTCTCTGATGTTTACACACTCCCTCTCTAACAGTCGCCCTCCTGCTATTTTCCTGTTTTTTTCTAGATTACCTTAAGGCTGACTATGTGTGTGTATGTGTGTGCACATAAAGATTGGGGTCACTCTGAGCGTTGTTCAATTCAAAACCACATCTGTGTAGTCCAAACTTCAAATTTCTTTTTTCATAACTTACATTTAGGAAGAGTGCATGGAAAAAGTCCATTACTTAATTTGGAGGAATAACTGCTTCCAGAAATGATTTAAAAGTGGCTTGAATAATAATTACTCAAAGTCTGCAAAAAGGCAGGCTTTGCAGGACATGCTGCTAACTGCCTGAAAGTAGATAGACAAACTCTATGGCTTCACTATTGTCAGGTAAAACTGTAGCTGCCTCTTCATTGCCATTTGTGTGTCAGATCATCTCCTCTTCATCGTCGCTCTCCAGCTGAGATGCCCTGCTCTCTCTCTTCCCTCACTGAATCCTCATCATTAACCCAGCCTCCCCACCTCATCTCACTCCTTTCTCCTCTCTCCCCTCTTCCCTCCATTTGTCCTCCCTCCCTCACATCCTGCCTAGCTAAAAACCAATCAGTCAAAGCCCCGTAGAGCTGTGCTTGGCAAGCCAGGGCGCCCGGACGAGCAGCCATTCATCAAGAAAATAACAAAATTAAAATTACACTTCTCTATTTAATTTGGTCATTTATTTTTCCTGGGGGGTGGTTGTGTGAAGGGGCAGGGGGACAGAAAGAGGGGGGGTGAAAAAGACGGGCGGGAGTGGGAGAAGAGTCGAGCGAGCGGTTTAATCTCTCAAAAGCCAAGTAATTTGAAGTTGCAGTTGTAGCAAAGAATCAACTTTGGCATCACGTCTCTCGTCTCTCTTCCCCCTGAAAGAAACAAGCTTGTCCATTTGGTACACAGCCTGGATGTGGATGTATGAATAATAGATACCAAAGAAATACTGGATCGCAATGAGAAGTCATTATCCACCAACATTCACCGGCAGGCATGATGACAGCAATCTATGCTGGTGTACCTGCTTCCTACGTAAGCCTGGCGTGCAACGAGGCGACAGGCACAGTGATTTAGGGATGGCAAGGAGGGGATTGCTTGTATGCAAACGAGAGCTGATTCAGCACTCCCGATTTCTAATCAACTCTGGTGTCATTTATAACCACCAAAGTCTCAGAGCTCAGACAGCTCAGTTACCACCTCTACACACACATAAGCGTGAGCGCGCGTGTGCTCACACACACACACACACACACACACACACACACACACACACACACACACACAATGTAAAAGCCTGACTGCCAGTGTGCTTTTCCCTGAAAACACATTAATGGAGTTTTGTGTGCACCAGACTATATATTTATTTTGGAAGAAAGAACATCAAGCTAAGTTAATTTCTTGTCATCAGTTTAGGTACAGGTAAAGAAACCATTTCATTTTCATTTTTTTCAGTTTTGTGTAAGTAAACAACCACATTCTGAATGTCACGAAAAGGCATGTTTCATTTTACAGCAGAAATATTTAGCTTCTTTTACCCATGTTTCCTGATGTAGGACTGGATGCCTTACAGAAGAATGATTCTTTTATTTAAATTGCATACTGGGGTTCCGGAGTTGCAACAAGGTGCCAAGGGACATTTTATGTAATTGTAAATGACAACTGTCTTGCTTTGCCATGTTGAGGCAGCAAATATATCTGAGGCAAAAAAGGGGCAGAAAACAACTTTTTATTTCATAATTGCTCAAGCACCACCACCAGCTACAGCATTGTCAAGCAGCGGAAAAAAGACTTAAAAGAAGAGAAACAGCCATTTCCCTGGGGGAAAGAAGGGACTCTTGTTTCCCCTTCCAATGAAAACACAATCAGACAGAAATCAATACTCGGAAAAACTTCGACCTTTGGCCCACTCACCTCATATTCCTGGGAGAGCTTGAGGTTGTCGTTGGCCTTGAGAAGCTCTGTGTGTTCGGCCAGCTCTGAAATAGGGATGGGAGGATGATTCATCATACCTGTTCACCAAAAGATTGAGAGAGAAATTCCACACAGGGGAAGAGAGAAAGTTTATTAGTACAGTAGATACGACACAAGTTCAAAACTTTAAAATCTCACAACACACCATTTATGGGTGGTAATTTGTTGGTTACATAACAATGGAAGTTGGGATTTAGTGGTGAGGAAGCTTGTGCAGAACACGGTGAATGTCACACAGCAAAAATGTATCGACTGGTGATGTTATAGGCACTTGATTGGACCAGGCCAGAGCTCAAAAACAGCTGGATTTGTGGCGCCGGGCTGATTGATTACTTGCCAAAGAAGCTGGTAGCAAATTGTATTAATTCCTAATATGGACAGATGGACCAATAGGACCAATGTTGCCAGAGAAAAACCCAGACCAATTATGTTTTAAACATTTTAAAGGGCACTGATACATTTTAATAGCTTGGGAAATTACTTAAAAATTACACAAGATGAAAAGTGTAAATGGCTTTGATGGTGAAGTCACAGACAAGACACACGACAGCCCTTTTTGTTCTTGGAATCAATGGAATGTTAATGTTGACAAAAAACCCTCGTACTCCTCATTGAAGATAATGAAAAGTAATATTTGCTTTCACCATAGCTGCTATCAACAAAAAAAAGAGAGGAGAGTCTAATACTGGATCACTAGTTGGTGGGGAAAAATACAACTACTTTGAAAAGAAATATTTCAAAGAGGATGGTTTTACTTGAAGCAGACCAAAAAATGTGACTTTGCTATTTTCATTACCTATACATGCATGCTATTATTTTTTATTATTTTCAACATTTAAACGTTATTACTTTCAGGACCATCCTCAATCAAAAAAAAAAAGATGAGAGAGAAGCTATGAAACAGTCTTTTGATTTGGATCAGAACCAATACATCCCACAGGCCAGCTTCTACTGTATCCTTAATCTATAATGCTCTTGTTGTGCTGTGCTGTTATCATGGTGACAATTTTGACTGTTGCCTTTATAACAAAAGGAGCCTATTCTAGCATGGAGCCCTGACCTGGGGGCTCATGGGAGGAGGGGTGGGGTGGGGTGTCAGGGGAGGGGAATAAGGAGTGTGAGTGATGCTGAGTGACACAGTGAGCTGCTCCATTCCAGCCAGCCAGTGCAAAGCAAGCGAGCTGCCGTTTCTACACTTTCCTCCATCTGCTGGTTTCCTCAACCCAGTGAAAACTGGCTCTAAGATAAACACCCCTTACCTTCCAAAGTCACAAAAAAAGCGTTCTCAGTTACATTCTCATTACATTACATTCACCTCCCAAATCCTTCCACTATGTATCCAAAAGAATTCCCAGAAAGAACTAGCTTTTCATTTGGGTGGGAAAATTGTGACTCTTTTCTTTTTTTTCTTGGGCTCTCTCCAATATCCACTGAACATTGTGTTGCTGCTGCTACAATATTATCAGCCCTGCTGTGCACTCTAGTCACTAATCCATTTAGGAGCATAATGCTGAGGCCATGTAATGGAATATGGAGCAGCCATAGATTGTGGCTCTCTCCCTGCATGTGGACTGGCAATGTTTTCATATTTTTAGTGCTGAGTTTTCCTGCCGAGTGATGGGGTCAAAAGTCAACAAAACGTTGAAATCTCTTCACAAAAATGTTACAGAGGCTTAATTGGCCGTGCAAATTGGCATAATCACATTAACCATCCTTAATTTTCTTTTTCTCACAATGCTTAACATCCCTCCAATGTCAAGGGGGTCACTGATGTTTTGTCTGCTTTTGTTGCGCTTAAGAGAGGGGGTCCATCTCTTTGTGATGACAGTCTTCATTAGTAATGGTAATTTATTTTACACTGAGAGAACAATGCAGCAGTGTCAATTACATGAAGATTAACAAAGATTACAATGCATATATGAGACAAATGGAGATGACACTGGATTCCGTGACATCCCCCGGAAAATGAATGGACACACTGCATTAACAGCCTACTTGACAAGAGTTTAGTTTCACAAACACCCATGTCCTTCTTAATGGATCATTTAAATTATGTTTACTGAATTAATAGTATTTCTATTTTTTTTAAAACCTATGTCTTTCAATCAAAGTTTTAAACAAAACCTTGTAAGATAATATGAGAACTGAAATTCTAATCATGTATTTGGAGGACGCCATTTGTTTTGAGTTTCTCAATGAGCTGGCAGAGCATGCAGATGGCTATGACTCCACTTGAGATTGAGACAGTTATTAATCACTTCTGGTGCGGGAATTCATTGAGATGAGCATCAAGAAAAAGAGGAAATATTGCAAATTGAATGTGGTTCTCACTTTACTTGCCTCAAATTCAAAGGGAAAAGGTATCGGAAGCTATGAGCGAAATAAGTGAATGCGTATGCAAATGAGGGGCCCTCACTTCTCCTTGAGAGAACAAGAGTGGGTTGTTTGAGGGGAGATCAAAGAATGTTTGTGTGTGGTAGTGTAGTTTACTCTGTGTGTGTCTCTATGTGTATTGGTGAGTGCGCATATGCTACTGACACACTCAAACACGATCAATTCCTTTCAGTTTGTATAAGTGCCTGCTATACTTAGAGATATATATCAGGCCAACATGTTTGGATATACATCCAAATCAAGCATGATGCTCTGCTAGTGAAATAGGCTCATGTTATACATATCAGTATTTGTTTCTTCCCTCAACCTTCAGTAGAATGCGTTGGGACACTAGCACTAAAACCATTTGAATACTTAAAACTGCAAGAGGCTTAAATCCATTGTTTTTAGCGCTATCCCTCTTTGCCAACATAACCACTTGCTATATGTCATCATGTTAACATGATTTAATTTCAATTTGTGCATCTATTTCTCTCTCTCAATGTACTTTTCCAGCCTCCCCCATTTGTTTTGTCCGCAAGACAAATGAGTCGATCGTGCCTGATTTTTTCCTCTTTTTCATTTAGTCACTTACACACTGCCTAGCACATTGCAGTGTTTATACAAGAAAAGATTTACTTTCAACACTAGGCTTTGCCGTGACCCATGCTCGAGCAACGTCACTCAAGGACAAATTGTTGTTATTCCCTACCCCTACTCAAAAGCTCCCTTCCTTCTATTCAACACAACCCACGGCACTTTCCTATCCATGTAGACTCTCCCATTTTTTCACCATAATCAACAGCATGATCAATGAACACAGAAAAACAAACGAGTGTCTAATTATACATTTCCAATCTCTCGATCCGCAGTCGATGCGTCTGAGAAATATACCGATTACTTTTGATAAGCCAAAGCAGTCTCTTTCCAAAAGCCTATTTATGATATTGCATATTTCCATATAAAAAGGAAGAAGTCTGTCTGTGTGTAAGAAAAGAGATTAAAGGCGGGGAAAGGGGGAAAGAGGAGAACCAGAAACTCTGCGTTTTCTCTCGGATGATCCTTTTGCAGTGAGCAGGGAGAGGGGGTGATCAAATGTCGAGCCATTGTTTGCCACCACTTTAATTAATCCTGCTTGTTATCTCTGAGCACAGAAAAGACCCTGCTACTACAGAATGGAAATGGAGCAGTGGTGGTGAAGGAGGAGGAGGAAGCAGAAGGGAGAGAACAACAACAAGGAGGTGAAGAAGGGGAGGAAGAGAAAAGGGATAACAGAGATTGTACTCCTGTAAAAAAAAAAAAAACTGTCAACCATCTCTACATCAGCAGAAGTGATCGCACAGGTTATTTATGCATGGTGGATTAATGCACAGCCAACAGCCCAAGTGAATATTGTGACTGACATCCAATTAAAGAAAAGAAAACAGCCCAGTTTACCAATAGAAATCAACATCAAATTAATCAGCGCTGAAATTTTGCTGCATATTATGAAAAAACAAACAAATGCAAATTATGTATTTGTAAATGGAGGCAAGCAGTGCTCGAAAAAAAAAAGATAAAGAAAGCTGGTACGCAAATGCCAAAAGCATAGAGACTAACTTTCATAGACAAAATCTGCTTCACTCTGAGGACTGCTTAGACCAGAATCTGTAAAGAACAGCAAACATAAGGGAAAATGATTTCAAAAGGCTGCAATGCAACAGAAAAGGCTATGTAAAAAGAAAACATAAAAATGTGCAAAATGATAAAAGGCTAAGAAATAAAATACAAAGGCAATAGTACATTTGCATTTACCAACAGTTTACCATCAGCACACTTTGGCCATTCTCGGGATGGCCTGAATGGCAGATTTGAGGCCAGACTGCCACACATGAAAAAGTAGGGCAAACGTGATCAGATCAGATCAGCTACAGTCCTCCTCAGGAGCAGACTAGTTAGCCCTACAGAAAAAGCCCTTCGGCCAAGCCCCATTTCAACGGTCATAGACATCAGTGATAAGAACATTAATTTGCTTTCTCTAAGCTTTCATAAACATCAGTTGGAATGACAGGAATGAGAAATAGACAGAGAAGGGACAAAAAAGCTTATGTTTCCTGTTGGAAACTAACTCTGAAGGTACCCTTTGTCCGCAGCTTGGTACTGAGGCACTGGGAGTGAAAAGTGTGGAAAAGTGTCCGCATTCTTGACTGACACCTGTAGAGCCACAGCTCTGAGGAGTGTGGTGATGGTTCAAAGTCTTATCTGCTCCAGAAAAGAAGTCCTGTCAGGATGCAGCCAGTGAAGCTATGTCCAGGTAGATTCAGGTCTCCTCAACTGTTCAAGCAGAAAGGAGCCATCTGTGACAGCATTAACCGGACATGTGGCTAAGAGAGGCAGTTTAATGGGATGCTGCCAACCTGCCCATCAAGTGAAGGGAAAAACATTTTGCCAGGGCTGAAAGCTAAAATCAGATCAACAGGGTTGCTCCGTGATGAGAAAGGATCACATCACCCAAAGATGGCAACTTTGATCCATCGAAAACAGACAATTTGTTCCAGAGCAAGTGAGAAATGAAATGCAAGAAACTGACTTGTGGGCAAAGTGAAAAAATACGTTTGTTTATCTAAACTTGCTGTTCTTCTTGCAAAAAGTCTGGCCCCAAAAACATAAAATGCATCTTCTTTGATATAGTGAGCCATATTATCATTTTTTACTTACAAATGGCAGATTTGACTAACAGGACTAGGATGTACCATAGACTAAAAATAGTGCTAAGCTCAAGTAAAACTGAGTTTTGCTGGGTTTACCTTGTACCCATTTGGCGTCACTGTCCTGCTGTCTTCTCACTAAGACATGCGGCCAGTGGCGCCAAATGAGTGCAGAGACATGAAGACATCAAACATCACCCTATCCCTAATTGATTTGTGACAATGACTAATTAAACCTAGCAGGGGGTGCTCTGATCCACTGTCTCCAAATGTCATTCATCACAGCAGGAGGGAGGTACAGGCATGTCTGATTATGTTTATGTGTGTGTGTGTGTGTGTGTGTGCAGTGCGGTTCAATTGAACTGTTTGTGAGGAGGAGGGCACGCCTGTTGCAGTTGTTGCTGTAATCCTGAGAAACAAGGTAGGTTGTTGGCGGGTTTTGTAAGCGTGTGATGCTGTCTGCAAGAAAATTTTTTGATTTTTACATGCTCAAATGTGGAAGTCACTTCTTCTGACAGAATTATGGGGGTGTGAAGTTCCATATGCGATGCTATCTTGTTATAGAGTAAAACCAGAGTGAAACTCAATTCACCTGTTTTTTAATTTGCAGAAGGATATTTTTTTGTAATGATGTGAATTCATATTACGTAGCACAGTAGGGAATGTCAAACTGATGATGTGAAGATAGGGTTTTGAGATGAGATATATACTGTATAGATGTATATATAGCGAGGGGTAATCCTCATGGTGATCACCAACTGTTATAGTTTAAAGAGTGGAATGTGGAACAGACAGAAAAGGGAAAAAAGAGATACAGAAAAAAATTAGCAAAGGGGGGGCTTGGTTGGACATAGACAGTAGATATCCACTGATTCGTGCTGCTTCATTACTTTGGCCCCATTTGCCAATTAAACCCTAGGCACCAATGAAGATAATGACAAAACGAGCCACTCTGCGCCCCAAGGAGTTATGGGATGTCACTATGAGGCTGTCACATGACCTATAGGCTTTAAAGTACAAATGCACAGGCACGCGCGCACACACACACACACACACACACACACACACACACACACACACACCCTAATATTAGTTAAGCTTAGCTTATAGGACACCTAATCAAAAACATATTTTTTGTTCTCCAGCACTAGGGGTCACTGAGCAGACATTGCTGATGTGGCATATGCTCTGCTGGATTGGAGAGGCTTGGGAGTATGCTCATTTGAACAATGGTTGCTAATAGCTGATGGGGATGTTCACAAATGCTCACCGGCCCACTTAATTGGGCTAAAATGTCCATTCAAATTAATTCCCCGGGTGCGGAGATAACGATATCTCCCAATTCTTCAGAACAACAGCAGGGCTGACGAATGAGAATGCTTGTCATATATATAAAGAGAGGTCTCAGCATGTATTGGTGAATGTTATGTAAAAGAGACCAAGAGACTGTAACAGTTTCTTTTTTTAAGGAAGGGAGGAGGACAGTTGAGGGAACAGTGGACAACGCTGGAAGCCAGAGAGACAAATAGCAGGAATGGCTATTATAACCATGTCATTAGAAAACTGCTGATTGAGTTCTGAATAACAAACAAGATAAAGATGATGACAGTCATTTCTGTGTGTACGTGGGTTTGTGCATCTCCTTTCATCCTTGTATCTTCCTTTTCTGATGTAAAGAAGGCAGTTGAAAAAAAAAAATGAGCGCAGGCAACATAACTGGGCTCCCAAAGAAGCTGAAGAGAAATGCTCCATTTTGAAATCTGAGCTTTTGATGGAGGACAGACTGGCTGTGGATGACAGATAGAGGGCTGGGAGACAACTAGGCTAGGAGACAAAGGCGAGAGGCAAAAACAAGGAAAAGAAACGAGGGAGCTGACGGGAAAAAAAAGGTGAATGTGTTTATTGCGCCTCTAAGGGATTTACTCCTTTTCTGCCATTTGCTTGGGCAGGTGAGAACAATGCATTTGAAACAGTGCCTCATCAAGTTCCTCAAAATGCAGGTCTCAGTCCTCTGTCAAATAAAGCTTGAAGAGAGAATAAATTAAACCATCTAGCGGGAAACTCACAATAATCCATGATGCTAACTTCTGAGATTGAAAACAGATTTGTTTTAACATTCTTTCACCAAAACCTCTAAGCTGGAAGGATGAAAGGTTTCAAAAACTAGTCAACAAATTCGTATATCCATGTCACTTTTTTTAAAGTACAAATCATAGCTTGTAATTAAGCAGTGGAAACTTAACTGAACTAAATACACCAAACACATAAAAAGCAAACTTCTTCCCCTATAATTCAGACCAATGATAACAAACTGTAGATGCCATCGTAGCCTAAATCGCAGGAGTGTAAATAACAGAAAGACTGAGGGTCTGAAAAGGAGGCGGGAGGAAGATTGAGAAGCCTTAGGGAACGAGTGTGGGATCGAATGTGCTCTGTTGTTAACACCCGGCTTTAGCTCAGATGAACACCAGACAGAAAGTGAGACAAAAGAGGAAACGGGTAAAAGCCCAGGAGAACTTCAAAAAAGGATTTGTTTCCAGCATAGAAACATTAAGTCCAACAACAGACATATTTTTCTATTCTATTTTTTCTATTATTTATTATTCATAAATGGCTAATTGTTACACGGGGACATGGCAAACACATACATATGGCTTGCAGGTAGTTATGAACGCACATAAAGTCAATAGGAAATGATGTGGGAGCACTTCATGGACATCATTCATGCTGCAGCATAAATTTAACTTTACGTTGCATCACTTTCGAATAGTTCTTCTCTGTGTAGGCTGTGTGAATGTGTGTGCCAATGTTACAAATCTGCTGTCACTACACATGACAAACAAACCAGAGGAGGGTCTTCTGCAGGTGTTTGTATTTATTTGACCAGTGTAATATAGTATATTGGTTGTCCAACATGAACTTCTGACAGCCAATAACAGTGTTTTTGGATGGGAGCTGCTGCTAATGAAATTTTTATCTTGATTTTAAATATGCTTTCCATTTCAGTAGGTTCCAGCAAAAAGGATTTTGAAGTTCATCAAATGTTTGTTCATTGCAGTGTAAAAAGCTTCTGAAATAGCATTTTGTCTAACAAAGGGAATGACATTTAGTCAGTATATTTTATATTTTTTATATATTTATAGGTTATATTAACCTATATTAATATGAAAAATTAAATAACAACCAAGCTGTAATATACCCCTGTGCTGAGATGAGGCAGGTCTCTTTGCAAGGTCTACAGTCTGTCACACCTCAAGCTGGATGAGTAAACTTTCTTCTTCATGTCTTAGTGATGTGTTTTGTTAGTGAAAATGGAAATCAGTTTTTTACTGAAAGGCCAATGTGGATAAATATGGTCAAACAGAATTGTATATACGGTAGTATGTTGTTCAATTTTACGCAAATGTTATTGTCCCTCAGTGTACGTGTTGTGTGTCCTTCCTGTACCTGGAGTTTGGAAGTTGATGCGTCTCATCTCCACAGGGTCTGTAGGGTGGTGGGGCGTAATGTCTGCGTTGTTCAGCAGACATTTTGTGCGTGGCTCAGACTCTTTTCTTTTGCGGCTGGAGATTAAGACAAACGAAGAGTACAAAGAGGGGAAGACGCAAAACAAAAACAACAGAATAACTTTTAATGAGCAAGCACTGGGAAGCTGAGAATGCGTATCATGGACGCAAAATTCTCCTTCACCTTCACTAATTGAAGGCATCTTTTTTTGCTGAGGCAGGCTATTTTGTCTTCCCCTGTAAAATGCAATAAAGTACGGCTAAACCTTACCTGTCAGGTTTGCTGTTTCCAGAGAAAGCAATAGGAGTCAAATAAATATATATAAAGATGGTGAAAACACAACACACAAGGAGAAAGGGAGAGGGGAGAGGCAAGAAGAGAGATAAATCAATAGAGAGCAGTTTAAAATTCACAGGGGTCGCTGCTGGGCTCGCAAAACGCGAGATAAAGCTCATCAGCATTAGGAGGAGGTGTGTGCATGCGTGTGCATGTGTGCACATGTATCAGTGTGTGAGAACAAGTGAGTATTTAATGAAATGCACAAGTAAGTGCGTACATTTGTGAGCCTGTGTCTGAGTGTTTATGAACGTGTGTGTGCTAATGTGTGTGCACGAGGGTGCAGATACAGATAGGGAAAGGGAATGTCAGGGCCAAGGGCAGACTTGGGAAACACTATTCACCAGGGAGAGATGGATGGGGAGATGGGAGAGCGAGGGGGAGAGAAAGAGAAGAGAGAAAAAAAGAGAGAGATCCAAGGAGAGATGTTACTCTCCCTAACCACCAAGACTGAGGTAAGGCAAGGTCAGACACTCAGGGATCATCTGACAGTAGCAAGCTATACTTGTGCTGCTCACACCAGCCCTGGCCTCCTTAAAATAATTCAGGGAGCTTCCCTGGTATGTAGGGCGACCTCTTACACCACTGTTCAGCTGGGACTTCATTGAGACTAAAAGCTACAACTAACTGTAAAACAAGGGGGAAATATTGAATGTATACACATGTTCCAATGCCCCAGGATGCTGAGGAATAGGAAATTCATTTAGACTTGTTATGCCTCTTGTAAGGTTCATTAAGCATAAAAGAATAGTTTGATGTCCACCACTAGAATTAAATAAATAAAATACAATAAATACACTAAATTTTACACTGAAATGGGTTAAAACTACTAGTAAGTAACTTGGGTAACATTGGAATACCATCCTTGTGGAGTATTCTTTCCAGAATCTTTAAATACAAATCTGTGACATCTCTTGGTTGGTAGATTGTACCATTCTAGGTCCAGTTATTGAGCACCATCTCAAAGAATCTCCTCCTTCTTTCTCCAATCCCCTCACTTCCCACAACCATCTTTTTTCACAGAAAAGCTCTTTCATATTTACATGCAACAATGTTGTTGGGTCTTTGAATATCATGCTGCTGTGAATAAGAAAATAGCCCCCACTTTAAACATGCTCCCTAACATGCAATTTTGTCCCAATAGCCCAATTCCAAAACACTGCAAATAACTGTTTCAACATCAAATGACAAGAAAATCTTCATTGTGTGTTGCTGGATAAGATAGAACCCTGAGATTCCCTGCATATTTGCCATTATTCAGTAAAAACATGGATCACAATTACTACAATACTTACTTACTACTTACAATACTGCTTGTGTGTGTGTGTGTGTGTGTGTGTGTGTGTGTGTGTGTGTGTGCGCGCAAAGCAATTAAGCAAAGCCACTCAGTACAAATTATCTAATGTCTTGTGTACTAACCCTAAACCCAAATCTTATTTTCCTTCACTTGAGGTTGAACAATGTTATTCTAAAGTATTATAAGTCCAAATGCAGGTCCAACTGCATTGTCCACAAAAAAAACAACTCACTTTTTATACAGAAGAATGGCAATGACGATGCAGATGATGAAGACCACAGCTAGGACTGGGCCCACCACCCATATGAGTCCGTCACCAGTCTCTACTGGAAGAGGGTCCACCACCAGCTCAGGAGTCATCACTGTGTCGGTATAAGGGCTGGTAGCAAACATTTTCTGAACAAAAAAATCAGGTAGACGTTAACATAGAACATGAAACACAATCCAGGTTACACAATGGTCCCCAAACTAACAAACACAAACTGTACAATAATGTAAATGCTGAGTTAACTGAATTAAGCAGAACAATATTAAGCAGACCTTATGTATTAGATTCACGTGAACAAAACTGAAGTGAACAAATATTAAATGAACAGAACCGGATTATTAAATCTACTCTGACAAAAGGAAATTCACTAAAAGTAAATCAACTGTTCTGTGATGAACTGAGCTGAACTAGTAACTCACCCCAGCAGTGGCGTTGAGTTCAGCCAGCAGGAAGAAGACATACTCCTGGCCAGGTTCAAGAGGCTTGTTCTCACAGCTGCTGTGGCGGTGGTCAGATCCCACCGTGAAGCTGGAGGGCAGCTGCCTGAAGCAGGCTGTGACGTAGGGCTTCCTCTGGTCCAGCTGAGCCAGCTGACGGCGTGAACGACGCTTTGGGGTCACCTCTCGCAACAGCTGATTGACGTAAGAGGGTATTTTGTTTACTTTAGCTTTTTTATGTGTTCCTTTTTGTATCCTTTGATTTAACAGTTTGTACAACATCAGTGCTAAATGAAATGACAGATATTTTACAAATATCAAAAATAAGTTCACTAATAATGTTTTCTGATGCTCTCAACAATTTGTTTATGATCTGCCGGTCTGTGATCACCACATTAAAAAAAGAGAGGCACAAGCTTTCAATGATTATCAAAACAGATACACAGAAAATTATTTGCATCAGTAAGTCAAACTCTTAAATTTCAAGAAGTATGACAATATATCTATATGGTATGGTCAATAACATTATAGGACCACCCCACCACCAATGATTAATATTTGTAACTTGGCAGGATAAGAGGTTATCATTTTTCGTCCCAGTAGATAAGTTGCTTCTGGATTTAAGAACAAGATCCCTTTCAGTGAACTGACTGAGACCGAATGAAGAAACTGTAGGTGTAACTGCACCCTTGGATTCAAAACACTGCTAACTGTCTGGAAATGTTCCATGTAACCAGGCTTCCACCACCAACATCCAACCCCTTTTATTCATTTCAAACAACAGACAGAGGCAGGCACTAAGCAGAGGGAATGTGTGTAATCCCAAATCCAATAGCGAGGGTTGCTGCTGATCAGGCACTCAAGGTGACCCCGAGCTATGGGAAGAGTGGGAGAAGACTGTGTAATTCTCTCTGCATGCTTGGGGGGGATCAATTAGCATAGCTGAGATGTATTTATGGCTGTGTTGTGTGCGCCCATGTCTGGTACATGGTGTGTACTATACAATTTGCCTAGCACATGCAACTGTTAATAACACAAACGTGTCTCTGGAATGCCTCCCTAAAAACACAGTTTTGCCAGTTAAGAGAGTTGTTATGGAAGTTTTGAAGTTGCCTCTTCCTATTAAATATGCTTAGTTATCGTTGACCCAGTGCACCCAACAGACCTGATAATTTCTAGAGCCAGAATAGCCCCACATCTTTTGCTTTCAAAATATCCTACCTCTTCCATGTCCATCTCATCAGGGTTCTTCAGGTTTTTGACAGTTCCTGAGGTCCTCTTGAGTGGCACCACAACAACATAGAAGTTCCTGGAAACACAGCACCATAGTAAAATATCAAATATCAATATCAAATCATAGTGACTCTTTATTGACATTATACAGCATTTTAGGTAAAAACATTCACCCCATGGTTAACGGAAAATTGGGTCCTATAATCATCAGCATTTCAGAAATCCTAAGACCTAAACTCTCATTTCACCACATTTCAGACATCCTGAGATCTCAATTACAAACCTAAATTCCCCAACCCTAAAAGATAATTCAGACCGAGCCTGCAGAAACCCTTCTTTAAGCACACTATGCTATACTCACTTGACATCCTTGTTATCGAGCGGTGGGAAGGACATGGTGAGCATGTTGTCAGGTTCAGCATAGATGTCAAGCTTGGGTTTCTTGACCAGGATGAGTGGTGCGGTCCGGGCAACTACACGGTGTCTGGGCCCACCCTCCATGCTTTCTTGGCATGTCACCCTGAATTCATAGGTGGTATTGTGCCTTAGCCCAGTGATGAGCACTCTCATCTGCCTGGCATCCACATCCATTTTCTGACGGTTGTACTCAATCTACAGTTCAATAAATGGTCCAGAAATTGAATCAATAATTGGTAAGAGGCATAGTTGGATATATAATAATTTTGGTAGTTCAATAGACAGGTGGTTGAACAGACATAGATGGATAGGTAAGGAGGCGTATTTATGTAACAAAGGATATGGGTAAGAATGGATGTGCATTTTCATTATTACATGAATAACGGAATGGATTTGTTGGAAAGGAATATGATTGGGAGGTGAATTGATGCATTGAAATATAGATAGACATTTTTAATTTCAGATTTCTGAACTATTTCTATTTCTGAATGTGATTTTCAGAATGGTTTTTATATTAAAACTTAACAGCTCAGCTGACAGTTGAAATAATTTTTTTGCCCTGCATTAAACTCACCGTGCACTTGTATGGAAACCTGCTTTCAGAAAACTTCCATGCAAGGACCACTGTGGTCTTGGTGGCCCACTTGACAGTGAAATTCTTTGGAACGTCTATTGAGCGGACGAATGCAAGAAAAAAAACAAAGACAGTGCATCTTCAGTGAATGGATCATGTATAGAGACCAAGGAAAGTGAAACAAAATAAGAACCTTTGGTTTAAAAAAAAAAAAAAACTGTTGTTCCCCTGCAACGTTCCTCTGGGTTGGAGAGTGTAACGGTGAGCTGTGATTGGCTGTGAGAAGGGCAACGCCATTGGTTAAGACACACAGCACGTAAGACTCATGGACGACAAACCCGTGGAGCACAAGGGTGCGCCCACTGGCTAGCTATCGTGGGTAGTGCCAACCAGTCTCACCACTGTCTTTGAACCCATGACCACTTGAGGATTAACAACTGACCCATGTGGTCCCAATGCCAACTGTCCCTAAACCTCTACTGAGTCGGGTTGGCACTGCCAACGTGCTGCCAGGAGGGCATAGAGACAGACTGAAAACACATCATGCCAATAGTCCTCAGCAGTGCATCTGGGGGATGCCATGCCACAAACTGTCCCGTTAAGGGACAGGGAAAGGGGAAAGGAGGAATTAGGAAAGGAAGGGGGTTAGGAAGGTATATCTAAAAACAAACCCCAACCCCAAAATAAAATGAAGAACAAACATCTGCTTCCTGTCATGTTAGAAAATACTCTTGGAGTGACTGGGTTTGACTGAGGTCCTACCTTGTTTGAAAACTGGGGATGTGAGATGACATTAGCTGTGTGAATGTGCTTGGCAAAGGGTTGCAAGGATGACTGACAGGAGTGTCTGACCAAACAGCACTTACCTTGAAATTCTAGGCTGCTCTCCTCTTTTTCAAAATGACTGACTATAACTTACTGACTTGGGTATTACCTTTTTTGGGTTAGTGAAGTGAGTATCCCACGGCAAACAATTTTAATATCAAGCTTTTCTCTTTCTTGAGGAGAAGTGGAGGTGGTTGAAGGAGGGGGTGGGGCATTTTAAATTTTTGTGTTGTTGCAGCTTCTTTTTAGCCAATTTCCACCCCCTAATAACTGGTTGGGAAAGAAACAGGCAAGCCCTACCTGTTGGATCAAAGGCCACCGTCCGATACTGGATAGGCGGGCTGTAGGGCCCTGGACCTACACTGGTGTGTGCACGTATTTTTACATCATATGCAGAGTTTGGTTTGAGGCTGTTGAGCACATAGCTGGACCGGTTGGGAGGCAAGTGGAGCTCCCGTGGTGCTCCTCCGGTACCGGCTTCCTTATAGGCCAAAGTGTACTCTGTGATTACCCCATTCCTCTCAGCCAACACAGGTGGAGACCAGGACAGCTGCACGGAGCAGCATGTCACATTGGAGCTCTCCTCAATTTGAGGGTATCCCCCTGGCGTATTCTCGGGCACATTGAGTTCTACCACAGCCTCCTCCCCAAAGCCTCCCCTGCTCTTGGCTGAGATTTTAAAGAGATAAGTGGCCCCCCGGTGAATGTTGCCCACAGAGTACTGTCGTTCTTGGGGAGCAAATTCCAGCGTGGCCAAAGGAGAGACATCTCTCCGGCCAAACTGGAGCCGGTAACCCTGCAGGTCCATGCCGTTAGTCAGGTCTGGAGGGTCCCAGCGAACCACAGCTGACGTCTCTGAATCCTGAGCCACTGACAGATAGGGCGGACCAGGCACTGCACAGATAAAGGAATAAAACAAATGTAGAAGTTAATTACAAACTGAACACCAGGAATATTACAGTTCTATCAAGGGAATTGAGGGAGTGCTTTTCACAAGGCAAACACCACTTTAGTTATCCCATTCATATCATGGCCACTTGCCAACAATTAGCAATAACATCAAATAAGAGCAATTCAATTAGAATCATACATTTTTTATAAACATCATTTGTTTGTTTTAAACATTATGAAACACAGTTTCTGTTCCTTCTTACAGTATGTTACTAGGGAAAATATAACTTTGAACCAGAAGTTGACAGGAGTTCACGTTTCACAAATTCAGCAAAGTGGCAGTGCAATGCTCTTTAGGTACTGAAGCCCCAGCACTGTTGCTACTGATACCTACAGTATACTAGTGAAGCATTCATTTAGCAAGGCAAACACATTTCTGTATCAGAACTGTCTGACCATACTGTATGGCACAATAAAAACAATGGACATGGACTGCCAAGTTGCCAACTAATGAGAATCAAGAATATTCAGAGATTATCGTACACATAAACAGATTGCATAATCTAGATTTACAGAAATAATATTAATTTCAGCCATCCATCAGACAACACCCTAATAAACGGAGTCAGGTTGTGTTGCATTGTGAACTTCAGACCACCTAAATTCTTGAGTGATCACTGTACCTATTACCATTTCATGACACATGTTAGCTCCATCCAAAATAATTTCTGTACTGCAAAGCATCACTAAAACTTTAACCAGAGAACAGTGCCTCTTTCAGCTGTAAGAGTCATCTCTTGTTGTAAAATGGATGATCCACGCTTGGGGTCTAGACACCATTCTTCAGAGTGGCCCAGTTTTGCTGCTCTTACGGATGACACATGTCCCATCTCAACTCTCCTTTTAAGGCCCCATCAGGGTGATAGAGGCAGGAGCTGTTATGGGAAGCCTTCAGTTCTCAGTTGCCGCCAAAGCTTTGTGAGAGATAAGTGTGGCTATTTCACACTTGAGCCAAATCTCTCTGTAAATAGATTCTACCTTGACCCACTCATCCATGTACCTTCTTTCTCAGAAATACAAAGCCGTGGCAGGACGGAAAACTGACTGACTGAATATAAGTGAGGTTACAATTGCAGTCATACACGCTATTAGTGATGTACTCAATTGCAAATACGTTTTTATTTTGGTATTAAGAGACTGACTGGATGAATGATATAAAATAAGTGATACACAAGTAAACACTGTCAGTTTACTTACCATTATGAATTTGATTTCCTACCTCTCAATGAGAATGTGAGACCATTGGTGAGAATATTGGCTGTTCAAAAAGCTTGCCAACTGGGTCGCTAACTGGGTCGGCAGCAAATTGGTTGATCCTGGCAGTGAGAGCTTTCTCAGCATAAATTAGAAAACGCTGAATAAGCTGAATACAAATGATTAACTCTAGTTTAATGTGTAACATACATTTCATCATTATCTTTATCTCAATTATTAGCCACAATTATGGATACATTTTCCTTCTTCTTTACTATACATCCACAGTTAACTGTTACACTAAATTCATTTAAATTAAAACAGCATCTATTTTAGTATTTTTTCTGTACACTAATGTTGTATCTACATCTGTTTGTGTCTATATTTGTGCACATGTATGTGTTCATGTGTGTGATGGTACAGGCCCTGGTTTGCAGCTCCAGCTCCTACTGTATATGACCATTCTACCTGCACACAGAGCGATTTGGCTTGTTGGCCAGTATGGACTTAAAGTAATTTGGAGAGGCTAACATTAGACTGAGGCAAAGGTACTCCCTCTCAGTGGAATAGTATCATTGTGTGGGTATGTCTGTGTGTGTGTTGGTGTACATGTGCCTACATATAGTGTATATTCCTGTGCCAAGACGCAAGTCTTAATGGATGCATAGTAAAAGCACACACACAATGCAATCCACTCCACACAGTCCCCTCACTCTGCACATATTATTCATTTCCGTTTTCTAATGGTGTTCTTTCTGAGGGCTATTGCTAGAGGAGGGTTGATGGGTGGATGGTGGCTAGTCAGCTGAGCCTTTGCCGGTAATGGAAAGGCGGGGGCGCTGAGGGTTGGGTGAGACAAATGCTCCTAATACTCCTCAGCTACATAGTACAGCTCAGCTTTGTGTCATTTAAAAGCCTTCATGCTCACTGCTAATCAAGGAAATAGAATCAGAGATAATGATCCTGTGACGACTGTGTATGTGTGTGTGTGTTTTCCATTCCATTCTGAATTTCTGTGCTTCGCTTCTAACCTCAACAAACCTTTGTGGCCCTGAAACTATTTCATTATTTGTAAGTTTAAAACAGTGGCCTATTGTGCACTTGAGAGAAGGATCACATGTATTGAGCCAGCAGATTGGTGTTGGGAGGAGTGTGTGGTATGTGTGTGGGGTGGGGGTGGTGGAGGGGTGCTACAGGGTGATGAGACAGAGACCAAGGGTGAATGAGGGATGATGAAGGTGACTGGGGACAAGGAGCAATCTGCTGCAAAGAGGGTCCAACAGGGATATGAGGAGGCAGAAATGTGAGTGTGAGTGTGTGTGTGTGTGTGTACATGAGTGATTTTGGGGTTCTTGGACACCTTGATTGTCCCTTTCCACCTCTCCTCAGTGTTCATCACTCCCCTCATTCTTTCCCTATCTCTCCACTTCTCCCCTTGCACACTGACCAATCCCCCTTTCATTTCCTAATCCCCCCATCCCTATCTCTCTGCGTCCATTTCAGGGCCAACCCTGGTTCAATCCCTCCTTGTGGGCCTCCAGGCACGTTTCCCATCAGGCCACAGTATTAACATCCTGCTGTTGACACTCACTCAGCCTGATTGAGAAAAGGGCGATCAGGTTTCCTTCTTATTTCCCCCATCTCTTGTGCATGCCACAACAACATATACATACAAACAAACAAACACATTATGTGCAAATTACATGATGCACATACAGTATCTTACAAAAGGGAGTACCCCCTCACATTTTTGTAAATATCGGATTATATCTTTTCATGTGACAACACTGAAGAAATAACACTTTGCTACCATGTAAAGTAGTAAGTGTAGAAAAACTTGTCTTTGTACTCCTCCCCTGGTTGCGGCCACACATGCTTGACACCATCTGAACTAAATAAGTTTATCTTGGTCTCATCAGATCACAGGACATGGTCCCAGTAATCCATGTCCTTAGTCTGCTTGTCTTCAGCAAACTGTTTTCAGGCTTTCTTGTGCATCATCTTTAGAAGAGGCTTCCTTCTGGGACGACAGCCATGTACACCAATTTGATACAGTGTGCGCCATATGGTCTGAGCACTGACAGGCTGATCCTGCACTCCTTCAACCTCTGCAGCAATACAGGCAGCACCCATACGTCTATTTCCCAAAGACAACCTCTGGATATGACGCTGAGCACGTGCACTCAACTTCTTTGGTCGACCATTGCGAGGCCTGTTCTGAGTGGAACCGGTCCTGTTGAACCGCTGAATGGTCTTGGCCACCATGCTGCAGCTCAGTTTCAGGGTCTTGGCAATCTTCTTATAGCCTAGGTCATCTTTATGTAGAGCAACAATTATAGCCTAGGTCATCTTTATGTAGAGCAACAATTCTTTTTTCAGATCCTCAGAGATTATTTGCCATGAGGTGCCATGTTGAACTTCCAGTGACCAGTATGAAAGAGTGTGAGAGCGATAACACCGAATTTAATGCTCCTGCTCGCCATTCACACCTGAGACCTTGTAACACTAACGAGTCACATGACACTGGGGAGGGAAAATGGCTAACTGGGCCCAATTTGGACATTTTCAAGGTGTACTCACTTTTGTTACCAGCAGTTCAGACATTAATGGCTGTGTGAGCTGTACACTCACTACTTTACATTGTAGCAAAGTGTCATTTCAAAGATATAATCAAATATCTACAAAAATGTGAGGGGTGTACTCACTTTTGTGAGATACTGTATATACACTTTTTAAAATCCTCTGTCGCCCCAGATGAAAGGTTCTCTACTTTGAGCTGCACTCTTCTAAATTGAAAAACAACCTCCCACTGCTTAACCTGTGGCTACAGCTGCCTATGGAGGCTTAACATATCTAAGGACATGTGAGGGATAAAAGATCTTTTTTAACCTTAAAGGTCATGACAAATCCATCACTATTCCATCTTCCCTCTGTTTTTAATTTAGAATGCTTACTGAAGGAGTGTTTCTGTGTATGGCATTGGTCCATGGAGTGAAGTAATTGGTAGGGTAGGAAACACCATGGTGTCAAATCTGCAAAATATTTCACATGGCCCATCAAGGAAGTTACTAAACATGCAATGATGGGATCAGGGTTGATATTTCAAGTCAGCTGACTGCAGACATTAGTGGAATAAGTATCCACACCTTTTTAAACACCCACACACACATCACTCAACATCCTTTCACAGGATGCAACAATCGAAATGAAGTGCTGTGAGGCTGGGGGATGGGAGTTTTTAAGCTGTCAAGATACTACAAGGGCAGGATACCCTACTAATGTCTTCAGTGTCTGTCTAACAACCGGGTGACTGAGTTCATTTGAATCTATATCCTCTCTTACTCGCAGTACAATTAATGAATTATGTAAACCACTTCAAGTAATTACAAACAGTACACATAAAACTTCCAAATATAATTTCATCCATCCGTCTATCGCTGAAAGCCTTAAATCATTACATTATGGTACAAAATGATACACACTAAAACTTAAACGTAATCTACAAAAATACTGCGCTATCAACAATATTGCTATATGTAGTGTACAGTATCAGCTGTAGAACTGCTTTTCAACATTCCCTTTCATGCCTTATGGGTTTTTAAATCAACATTCATCTACCTTTTGTGGCCACCATTACTGTATATAATCTTGAGATTGTTTTGGATACTTTCTGAAACACCAAACTACCACAGAGGCTTGTTTGAATGTATGGAAGATGAAAAGACATTAGCCATTGATGTGAAGTATTTATAGTATAAATAAATAATAGCATAGTTTCTGAAGGTAATGTTGGTTTAATAATTTGATATACGTTGAGATCCATTTTTTGTATGTCTTTATTAGGTACCTTGCCAAAATATATAGTCAATATATAAAATACATATTATATACGTTTTTTGTCTGTAGCAATAACCTTACATTTAAATTTATATAAGAGTATAAGAGTGAAGAAAAATGAGCAGTAAGAAGAAGGGCTCGTAAGAAAGGCTTGTTAACTAGCACACTGTCTAATATGAGAGCTTTGTAATATATATATATATATATATATATATATATATATATAAATTTCAATGATTTTGTCACATTTCAGATCAGAAGAAATTTTCTAAAAATGGCCACTAAGGTTTAAGTTATTCTGGAAAAATAAAAAACAAAACAGAGACAGTACACAAAAGATTTGGGCATCCTTCTGAAAAGTAAGCCAATTCTTAAATTCTGACATTTTATGAAATCCCAAGAGAAAACAAAAAAATCCTTTTGTTCCCTGCCTGATACAGACCACAGGGAATCCCACAGTATATCAGAAATCTCACAACCAGTGGGGACCCTGCAATTCTTTAAGCCATCCTAACATCCCTCAGAACAAGAAGGACAATGTCTTCACCTCTGAAAAAGGCTGCATCGTCACCCCACCTCTCACCCCTTTTGTATTTATCTTGGCCCCCTGGCATAAACCATTTCTTATACTTCAATAATAAAAAAGGAGAGGCTTTCCCTCTGAGGAGAGACAGAGTACGATAGACTGGCGTATCAGTCAGCTGGCCCTGACAGGAGGATGGAGAGTGACAGCACTCACTCAAACCCTATTGCCAGAGTCACACTCCTTGATCCCAGGATCTGGGAAATCTGCCTATGTTTGTGTGTGTGTCTATTGCTGTGTTTTCGATTTATGATAGTATGCCACAGCATGGCTCAGTAGTGGAGACTGCATGCACTCATTATTTTGTGTGAGTGATAAGGTATGTATGCAGTTGTGTACATGTTGACTATGAAAGCTGCCTGGCAGAGATGCTCACATAAAAGGACCCTCCAATCTTGACTTGACGGCTCAAATTCTCTCAAAGAAGGCTTTCGCATTCTTAAGCAGCCAGCCTCACAGGTTTACATCGTGTTCATGGTAACTAAGCTGCTAGCGTCCAAAAAGGCTCAAGTGGTCCAGTTTAACTGGTGTGTCTACTGGTGGTCCCAAGGAAAACACTGAAGACAAGGCTTTGTACAGTAGTATGCAGACATTAGCCTACAGTATCATTAAAGCTCACACCAACGGCCTAAAAGAGGTTTTCAAGCTGTCATAATTTGTCTGAAAAATTTCTAAGTACTTCACACCACCTTCTTGATCTCTAAAAATCTGTGGTTAGTCTTCTGAACATGATTCAAATGATAAATGCTGCCCTGATAGAAGCAAACATCAACTCAACTGACTGAACTGTTCTTGAATTCATATATACCTCTGGATTATGTGGAAAAAATGTTTTCGATAAAATTTAGTACCGGTATTCAAAAATTAATGCAAAATTAAGTAAAAAGCCGTTAACATGAGAAATACCTTTAATAAGGACGCCTAATGCACAAAAATGGAAAAGGATATGTTGCATTTGTTCACATTTGCTTTTTCAGATCTTCTGAATAGGTTTGGATCATTTAAACGCACCACATTGTAACTGTAAATAAATGTTGTTAATCAAAGAAAATTCAAAATACAGAGATGATAGCCTAGCAGTAACAGCAGGATGAGAAGGTACCCCTTAGCCAAAGGCTGAAAAAGAACTTGTTACCTTTATTGGCGCATTAATAAAGGTTCTGCAAACAAAGCAACAAATAATCATTGTACTGACCTGCCCCTTTGGTCACCACCAGTTTGGGTTTGCTCCGGGCTCCATCCCCCTTGGTGGTGTACGCTGCCACCGTGATGGAGTAAGTGGTGTCAGGCTTTAGTCCTCCGATGACCATTTCCTATGGGAGACAGGGAAGAAACAGGAAAATGTCAAAATGTGCCTTGAATTTTTGATGATTTGACCCCGTTCATGCTGATCAACCTGCTTTATGCAGAATGTTAATCTTAGTGAAGTATCTACTAGTCCTCTTCATTAATTTTCAAGAGGCATGCAATAAATGTAACGTTTTCCCCAGTGTAATGGGAGACCATTCCATTAAGTAAATCCTTAGAAATGCCAAGATGGAGGAGGGACATTTAATGGAAAAAGTAGCCCCCCTTATTCCTTTAGTAATATTCCAATCAACAACTTAACTTTGTGATAAATGCATGCTGAATACATCCTGCCCATTCGCTGGCAGTTTTTACCTCAGCCATTAAGTTTCCTTGAGTCCTCTTCAAAGAGAGGCTTCCGATCAATTCTAATGAATCTTTCAAGGGAGCAGGTTTGAACGAATGCAGAATGAGGTTTTTAACAGGCTGGTTGGCAAAGGAATGGGAGAGGTCAATAAAGGTAAATGAGCTATAAGTACTGTCTTGCACTTGTGATGGTATTCACGTAATGCAGAAAGACTGGGGATTCAAATCTGGGTTCAAAATAAGTGTACAATTTGTTGAGAAAAAATCTGCCGTTGTCAATCTGGAAAGTTGTAAAATCTGGATTTCATGTGAACTACTGTTTAAATGTTTCAATAACAGAGACACAAAAAAGGCTGTGAACTTAGGGCAGTACAATCATTCTAAGGCACCACATAGAAAATTAAATAAAATGCACACACACACACACACACACACACACACCACCAGAGCACTAGACAAAACATACTGTATCAACACACAGCATGACACAAGTAGCATTAGCATTCCAGGCACAGTGGGCAGTGGATATTGCATCAGCCACCATTTTGTAGAAGCTAGCTGGCAATAGAACTTTTTTCCTTAGTGGCGTAAAGAGATGGCCGGCCAGACAGCTGAGGTGAAACCGCTTAGCCACTTTGTTATCCAAACTTATTGAATTAAGATTGGTGAGGTTGTGCAAACTGTGAATTAAGGTTGATGCAATAGCCGCCGTTTAAACCCTTTCAGCTACACAAAGCACTCAAGCGAAACTTCGTACTCACATATTCAGCTGTATCGTCCGTTTCCCACTAACCCCCCCCGCCAAAGAGGAGAATGCAGGAGAGACAGAAATATTTTTTTTAAATAAAGAGAGAGAAAAGAAAAGGAAGAAATAGGATTGTGAGAGACATGGGCATTAGAGGTTTGGGAGCAGAGGTTTGGTATCAGAAATAGGTCACTGGTTTTGTGAGGTCAGGAGAGAGAGGAGCTGTTTGAAGCTTATGTTAGGAGGAAAAGCTGAAACAAGACTGAGAGTCTGTGGGGCCTGGTTATGTTTAAATGTTACTGTGCAGCTAACAATAAGCTACCTCAGTGTTAAATCACTGATAGCTACAGCCACTAGTGACATCAAAATGTAGCTTTCAAGGGATTAATGAAGACATGTTTGGATATATTAATAAAAACATTCTTGATTGACTACTAGGTGTGTGCACATTATAATTCAAGATATTTAAGCTCCCCCGCGACCCTGTACGCAGGATAAGCAGTTGACGATGGATGGATATTTAAGCTCGTTCTACTCTTGGATTGTGGGTCAACTAGATGCCATTGCATTTGGCCCGCATGGATTCTTCATTCATGTGGAAAAAAATTATTTTGATTAATTCATTCCCAAAATATGCAGAACTGCATACAATAATAATTGTCTGTGTTGTTCATCCTATTGCTTCAAGGTTATAATTTCTATTTGGATGATTACTACTATGCACACAAGTCTTACTTTGGCAGGCTTCCTCCAACAGTGTGTTGACAGAAGTTTTGTAAAAAGGTGAAAAAAAAAAGATCATAAAGGGCTCCATTATAATTCTAGCTGTCAGTGGAGGCTGATTTTTGGTGAATTGTGTTCATGCCAATTTTACTTTTGCCCCCCAGGCACAGAATACTATAATCAGCATTTTCTTTGCTGAGTCTTTGCATTTGATACAAGCAGACAATCAGACATTTCTTGGAAGATGTTGCCATAAAGCAGGGGTCTAGACATTCCTAATAAAAGCCATGGAGGCAGAAGAGGGAGGACGCTTTGATTACAGTTCTTGTCGTGGGCTGAGGGTAAAAGAATATTACAGCAATATGAAATAAAATCCAAGAGGGAAGAGCACCCATATCGCTTGCCATACTGCTGCAATATTTGCAAAGCCAAAACAGTGTGGATGAAGTACACAATTTGCAGTTTGTGTGAGATAAAAAGTTGGGGAAAGTTTCTTTGAAATGTCCACTGAGGTTTTAATCATCATATTTGTGTTGTTTTAACCTGCTTAGTGTCTCTGCATCACGGTTGAAAAATACATTCAGTTTCAAAAGGAGACCTGGGCATTTTTTGTGGAATTACATTTTTTTAATTTATCATAACTGATTTGTACTGAGGAAACTGTGAGATGGTCATACCTGGGCATCTGCTAGCATGACGTCCTTGATGAGGGGCAGGCCCCGTGACTCGCCATTTTCCACTCGTACATAGTGAACCTGGTAGCCACGGATCTGTCCGTGCTGCTTGCCTGGCGTCAGGGAACGCCACATCACCTTTAATGCTGTGGAGTTGAGGACCTCCACCTCCACCCGCCTTGGAGGAGCCCCAGGAACTTTGGGTAACAAAACAAAGACTCAAATCAGAATCATTTTGTTATATGTACTGCTGAAAAATTGTAGTTCTGAACCATTATTTTCAGACACCAGTGGATGGACCAAGTAGATGTTGATCAATGCAATGTAGGACGAGAGAGACACTTAATACTGCGCCATGACATTTAATAACCCTTTCATGAAGCATACTAACAACTGGCAGGAATGACATTAAAAAACAACAAACACAAACACACCCCAGTGTCAGTCTTCCCACAGTACCATTTTCCCAACACATATGCACACACCACCCTGACTTCCCCTGTCTCCTCCACCTTTTCAATATGTCTCTGCTGTGTCTGTCTGCCATCAGTAGGAAGCTCTCAGTCATAATGACAGTCCTTTATGGAAGGCCTTTTGGTGTGTCATGGACCAGTCCTTTCTGAGATGGATGCGCCATTAATAGAAGTCTTCCACTAAAACCGCTTCCATTTGCTCTTCCGAAAACACTTCAAGTGCCCATCTTCCCCCCTAAATCACAACCCCATTTCCACCATCTTCCCCAAGATCATGCAGCAATGTTGTTTATTACCAAAATCTTTTCTACCGTTTAGCCCTGGCTCTTATTTCTTCACCTGGTACTTCTGTCACACTTTATTATCGTAATGACACCAGAAAATTTGTTATAGCTATTGTCAGTGCACTGTTGTGTTCCCCCTGCAATTCCTGGTTTCTTTTAAACAGGTATGGTAAGAATTTGAGCTTGTCTCTACTGTTGCGCTTGTTGTACATCAGTGTTTGAAAAATGCTGTGGTAATGGATGTATAATGGATTGTAGAGAATACAAGCCAATGCCAGCCATCCTTCAATGATTCAGATGTGCTGTGACATTACCACATCTTTACTTGTCAGTTTACGTATTTTATTGCTCAACTGCTTTTATCCATTGTCATTTAGTTTCTGCTATTCAACTTGGCTGAATAATGTTTATTTTTTTTGCTCTTTCAAGCCTGAGATGTTCTTGCAATCATCTTGGCTTTTCTGTCGTTTCCAAGCACAATCTATAGTTTGTGCGTAAGTGGTGCACAGTGGTTGCAAATGTAGGGGAAAGTGTATCAAATGACCTGAAAGACCAGATATGGCCTTGAGGTGTATAGCCCTCATAAATGCTTACGTCTCTCTGCAGAGCAGTGAGATACTGTTAAAAGCCTACAGATAGAGGTATGATATGGGATGTGGTAGCTATTATGAACTACATTTGGTTAGTTATTTTTTAATAGCAACACACTTGATTTCCCAAGTGTGTTATCTATGTTAAGTGTTTTCCTTTTATATGGTTTACATAGCTGTATGTCGTCCTATTACTTATGGACAAAGATGTTGGTATGCTTCTGAAACCACTCTATCAAGACACAATTTGGTGTATTTGGAAAAATATTCTGACTTAAGACTGAAGTAAAGAATTTATAAAACTTTCTTGCTTTTTCTAATGGTAACAATTCATACACACCTAACATTTGTAGTTATGAGATCATACCAAGATAATATAACATAATGCAGATTAACAATAAACTTTGTTAATTGTTCTAAATAGCACTCTGAACAAAACAAAAGCCGATTTTGTCAGCTGATTGCTGTGTTTTGTGGTGGATTTGTGGCATTCCAAACACGTGTTGCCAACAGGGGAGTTGCAGAGTGCTCTTTGATGGACAAACTATGCAACGACAACACTCAAAACATGACTGAAGGATCCATCTTCTGTCTCTCCATTTCCTTTTTGTCATTTATCAGCTGTTAAAAACATTAATACCAATTTATCTGAAATTAGCGCATATCAGCCAATAATATCACCATAATTTAAAGTCAATGCCAAGGGCACACTAACCATCAAACTAACAAAAAATACCTTTCTAAATAAAGTTTAGCCTATACACATTAGAGATGCATGTACCGTCTTCGTCTGTGCGGCAGATCAGGGGCTCACTCTCAGGGCCCGGCCCTATTACGGTGAAGGCAGACACAGTGATGCGGTACTGGGTCCACTTCTCCAATCGCTGCAGCAGCACCTGCTCTTCAGTGGCAGGGACTGTGGGCTCCTCCGTGGGCACCCCATCGTCACTGCCGCCTTCTGACGGGCCCACCACCTGGTAGTGCACCCTATACCCCGCCAGGACACCGTTCTGACTCTTCAAAGGCGGGGGGCGCCAACTTACCAGCAGGGTGGTGGAGCTCGTGCTGCTGCACTTAATGTCTTGAGGGGGGGCTGAGGGCTCTGGTGAGGTGGAAAGGACAGGAAGGAAGGGGGTAGAGGACGAGGAGGTTGGGGAAAGGGGGAAGGGAGGGGTGAAAAACAAAAAAATAAAAAGATGGGAGAGATAAAGAAAATGATAAAACGATAAAAAAAACAATAAGAATAATTCAAACAAAAAATTGCAAAACAAAGACGGAGGCAAAATATGTTCTAAATAAAAATAAAATCATCAAGCAAATGTCAACATAAGAGGCATAAATGGATAATGGCACAAGCTTGTGTAATAATGAATCAAGATGGCTACTGTTGTGAGATACCTGGGGACAAGCGCTGGACACGCAGACTTATTTGGTTTGTTTTTTGGCATTACAAGGTATCAAATGTTTATTGTGTTGAACTCCTGCTCAAGCAGTCATGTATTACCGTTATTTGACTTAACCCTTTGATTCATATGTCTATACCAATGTGCAGCTATGATTTAAATCCACTGTTAATTAGTTTTAATATTTTTTCTATTTATTATTTTGGTAAACACACATATACACATCTTTGATTTAAATCAGTTGTAATATATTTTCTATTTCTTATTTTGGTAAACACATATACACACATCTTTGATTTAAATGCACTGTTAATACGTTGTTTGCATTATATATTTTAAACATTATTTTGGTAAACCTATGATTTTTACCTCTCCTATAGTCAATTGGTTTGCATCCAAAAACATTTTTTTTGGAAAACACACACACACACACACACACACACACACCAGGTGAAGCTGGTGGTCAAAAAAACTGCATCCTCATCCACATATTAAATTCACTGCTAGGATAATATTACTCCCTTTTTCTGTGGAAATGCAGTTTTGTTTGTCTTTGTTAAATTTCCAAGATGCAAGGGTGTCTTGCAAGCCTTGCGAGATGATCTTGTCTGTATGATCATCTGGGAAGGTACTTGCTTGGACATAAACTTATCAACTCCCTGTGAAATTCACAGTCAAATTAAAGTAAACTTTTATTTTTGGGCATTGATCTGAAGCTTTAGTCCTTAACAACTAAAAAACTAGCAAACAAGGTAAGGTAAAGACAGTCGTGACCACTAAACCCTTAATTTTACTCTTGAGGTTCTGCAATTATTGTAACCATAAGCCAATTGGCTGTCCACATCAGGATTAATAACATACTATCATGTCCATAACATCGGCATTAAGATGAGATGAATACTGTGTTTCCAAAATATGTTGGTGCCTTTTTAGTTTAATTGATAAAGATTTCTGGGAGCCATTGTTGTGTCTTGGGTAGCAAATAGCATCCATCTTATCATGAATGAACAAGATTAAACATTGAAAACCATTTGATGTTTTTGTTCGTAAAGTTTCAGCCAAATTAGCATAAGATAAAACAAGCTATATTTTCCTTAATATAAGCTTGCAGGGAGATAGTGTGGTCTGTATTTTTTAATTTGTAATAGTATAAAAGATTTCCAACACGGTGGCTCTTATTTGTGTCTGAAGTGTTCTTCCAAAACATATTAAAACCTACACATCTGTGAACTTTCTAAATCAAATTCAATGCCTCTCTCTTCTAATCTGTGCCAAGCTCTTACACAGCTTGTGCTCGTCCAGAGAGTGTGCTGTGCAAGGAGCGATAAAACGTTTCACTTCTCATCCAGAGTTTGGTATTATACGGATAAAAGGACATGTATGGAAATATTTCTATCCAAGTCGGGTGTCCTCTATCCCCTACGATGTTTTGTGTGAGAATATATTTCCTCCATCTTGGTGTGACAAACCCAGTTCATTATTACATTTTTATCTGTTATGTAAGGTAAAAACAGCACAAGAATCAAAAACAAAATGAAATACCACCAGAAAGAAAAAAAGGCATTCCACACACAGCAACTTAAGAAAACAACTCAAATGAAACCCATGTTAACAAGCAGCATGTTCTCATTCCAACACAAAGGCTGAAGAAATAAATTATGAACTGAAGGAGGGTACTGGGAAATTAATTTTGCTGTAACCCATATGACTTGAAAGAAAGAACCACAACAACAGTTAAGGTTCAAAATGACTCATGAGAAAACATGAAAAAAAAAAAACTCAGCATAAACAGAAAATAAGAACATTTCTAAAATAACAAACAAAAATAAATCACAAGCATTGTTTGCATCATACGTACCTGACTCCCACAAATACTAAATTTGAAAGACTTTCTTACCACCAGCACCTGACTACAGAGTGTGCTTACTCTATAGTCAGTGAACTGCAACACTTTCCCTCCCAAACAGCATGCCAGAATTTTGAGATCCATCCCGGTTTTTGAATCAGCAAATAACAGCTTTAATTTTGACCCACTGAGAGTTAGTTTTGTACCCATTTAGGGGTTATTGGGAGGGAAAGAGTTGGCTCTGTGCTGTAGCCAGGGCTGTTTAATACTCATGTTTCTTTGGGCCGGAGGATCCACAAGACTCTGAGAGGGGAAGCTATAGGGGGAATACTCACTCCCAAGATATGCTGTTCTTCTGCACTTGGCCATGTACATAAACATTCATCCTTGTTAACAATTAATTCAAATAAATCCCATTTCATAGCCCTGTGCCTATGTATCTTCGTAAAGCTTATTGCCAGTTTGAGAATGCCACAAGACACAAGTAGAGAGGAAACAAGACCAAAAGCTTGTATTGCTGAATGCATAAACATTTAATGATAGTGTTCTGACTACACTGTCACTTTGGGTAGAACAGCTTTAAAAAACGAATATAAAACAACAGGAGTTTTGACTATCATAAAGGCCTACTCCCTGTGAAGAAGAATGTTCCAGCACACAACAAATAGGACAGGACCTCAGACACAGTTCCCAAAACCTTCTCTGTGTCCAATGGGCTTATTTACTTATGGTCTTACTGGATTTTGAGCCTTTCAGCTTCTTTCCTCCACTCATATTGTATTTGCAAACTCTCCACGTCAAGAATGATTGCTCAGTTCTCAATCTTTGTGATGTGGAAAAGGCTGCGAATCTGACAAGGGCCAGGCTATCACAGTGCACAGGCATCCTCATGCCTGATAATGGTTTAAGACAGGCTGGGGCACAGCTTTAATAAAGTGCATATCCCATGAAGGCCAGTGGTAGGATTATGGATAGTAGAACTATACAACCACAAAAGAAGAAACTCTGCTAATGCTTCACTTGAGGTTCTTTTGAAGCTTCCCTGAAAGAGTTTCCTAAATGCTATTTGACAAATAATTAGTCATGTCTGTATTCATATCGTTCTCTTTGACTTTAAAGTCTGTTGTGATATGACTAAGAGCTATGGGTATAAAGTCTGCAATGTCAAGAACTGGTGGCATACCTAATCATTATGACTACCTTCAGATTAAAAGTGTTTTTTGCGCAACATCTTCAGTGGATATAAATTACACACATTAATGCTAACAGTTTAGCAACACAGGCCATTACTCAATGCCTGCTTTCAACTCTTAAAATGACACAGATTGCCAATGCTTTTGCTATCAGAGTACAAGCACATTTGAACTGTATTTTCATCAGAAGCTTGGAATGACAGGATGTTCATATTTGTAGATCATTATGGAATTAATCCCCCCCGATGCCAAATGGCCATGCTGCGGTTCACACAAATAGTCCAATATATCTAAAAACCTCCTGCAATTACAGTAAGTGTGTGTGGGGGGGGGAGGGGGGGAGGGGGCTAAACTGCTTGTTTGGTTAAATACAGAGGATTTAGAATCTGCCACATTAATTTGAGAGATAGCACTTGACTGGCTACTGGCAGGTTCTAGGTATAATCTAAATGTGTAACAAAGCCTGACAATCCAGGGTCCTGGCTCACAGCTCATCCCAAAGCATGAAATTAATTCTGACGCTATGAAATGGGATTCTTATCTGCCACTCTGTGGCCCTGCAGTCCCCTAACGCCCGTTCCCAGGGTCCATCTTAGGTCCTGTTAGCATGCCTTGCAACTGGATAACAGCTAGAGGAATGCTGGAAGCCCACCCAGCTCTCGGGTTGTGGATCCACTCCGGCCACGTCTGAACGGTCTCACAAAAATGGTCTCTCAACCTGGTCTGACTATAGCAGCATACCCCAAGAGGCCTTGCTTCTGAATGAGGGCTACTGTTGCAAGTAAGATCTTGTGTATTTAATTCATCCTGCCATTATATTGACCAAGAGAAGCCAATGAAATGATTGTGGTGCGATTTGATTTGATCATTTATTTGGCATCAGTCCTGATGGAGCAAATAAGCAGAATTATTATTTTTTGCAGTGATGTTTCAAGAATTTCTTGACAGAGTGGTCCCCATGGCAATAGCCCCTGGTAATGCTGCTTGGACTTAGCTCAAACTTCAACAATCTGCAAACATTTTGTACCACAGATAATGGACAACAAAGCAAACAGGGAAATCACGTTTTCTGTCTTTCTTTTTACTCAGTGGAAAAGGGTTTCAGTTTGCCAGACAATGTATTGGGTTCAAATCCATGTTTAAAGGGTTATGCAAGGCAAGTAGAGCATGGCACTTAAAATGCCAAATGTTGAATTGTATGGTAATGTGTCAAGGATAAATTAGTCCAGCAGGCATAGGCAAACTGTATTCATTCCTCCACTGCAGTGTATTTCATTTTCTTTTGTCTTTTATTGTAACTGATCTTTCCATAACCTGTCATTAATCTCCAAATATAACTCAGCCTGCACAGCTAGTTCACTCAATAAACTAGTAAATAAGGCTCCCGCATTGCAGTGTAGTGTAGTGAGAGACTATTTTCCTATACTGTATATGTAGGCGACATTTACTAGTGTGGGTGTCCATTGATAGGATAGGTCTGGCATTTATAGGATATTTTGTTTGTGTGAAACTAAACAAAACAATACTTTTTCAACAATTGTGCAAATGCCCTTAAACTTGACGTCATTGTGTTTCTGTGCATTTGTGTGGCCTATGTGCTACTGTGTTAATACAATAAGCTCTATTGTTGGTGTTTTCCCAAAAAGCTGAGAGTTTAAAACTGACTATGTTAGACTGCACCGTGAAGCCACTTAATACAAGCTATATATGTCACAGGGCTTTTCACTGACTTGTTTTAAATATCTGACAGTGTCATGTATAAAAACTGCTTACTCTATCCTGCTGGAGTTTCAGAAAAGGTGTTAAAAAATAACAAACGGTTAATTGGATGAATATGTGAATGTCTGTGAATGTCTCTGACTCTGAATGTCTTTGAGAAAAGTTATAGCAGACTGAATCCCTAAACCACACAATCACTTACCTCAAAGCATCCAAAAGATCAAGTTATTTATTGTGTTGTGGGAAATCTTTTGCTTTATGTGACTTAGTCTGTGATTTTTCTGACCTCAGCAGTGGAAAAACCAATGGATATATTTCACACTTGCTCGAGTAGTGACTCTTGATAAAAGCATTAAAAAAAAACCTTTGGATGTCAAAGACTAAGAACAACAAAGCCTAAGGTGATACCATAGAAGTAGAATGGATAGAAAAGATAAAGATGGCAGTTAGCCTTAAAATGACAGCCAAACAGTATTTGATAATCATGTCATGGAAATGATTACTTCAAAACACAGTATTTACAAAGTTGATTACTACTCCAAACATAAAGTGACATCATTTCCGCGACAGTAGTATCAAAATTCTGTGGTGGGCAGGCAGATACAATTATCAAACAACAGTATCTATCCACTGTAATTGTATGGATGAGGCAGTTGAAAGGAAAAGTCCCTTGTCTCAAGCAGAGACTTGAGAAAAAACATCAGTTAGACTTATTCTCCCACGTATTTCTTCAACAGGCAAGCGTATGTCAGTTCTGTCTATGCGTGCTGCTCTGCCTGCTGCACTGTAGTTGCTGTGGTGGACTTGGGTTCATGCAAGAACCCAAAAGAAAGACAATAATTGCAGCAAACTACTGTTTAGGGTGATGTCAAACCAATATCCTTTTCAGATAACCCAGAAAGTAATAGAAATTAATAAATAAATAAAAGACCGAACAAAAAAGTTTTTTTCAAAAGACTCAACATAAAAGGAAGGGGACACAAAGTGAGCAAGGAGATGTCAAGCCATTCCAAGGAGAGTGTTTGTTCCATTGCACAGGGGAACAAGTGGCAAAGAGAGAAACAGAGCTGGAGTAGGGTGATGTAAGAGGAAGAGAGAGTGTATCCAATCCAATAAGCTTGCGGTTTACCGGTCAAGAACAAATGCAAAAACAGAGTTAAGGAAATCACAAACACACAGGTGAAGATGTGAACAGACACTCGAGAGACACCAAGACAGAAATGGGGTTGGATGAACATAAAGTATTTTCATGCCTAGACTGATCAAAGATCAATGGTGCAGTGATAGGTTCTCAACAGCACCCCCATTGGGCAGGAGTGAATGTTGCATGCAACTGGCTCTCTCCTCAGTGACTCTGCACTGTCTGTGTAGCTCTGCTGCCCAGCAGTAACAAAAAGAACTGTGAAGTGGTGGTTCCAAAGCCCCCACAGCCCAGATGTGGAGGTACAGCCAACAAGTTGCACTGGTAGAAACAGAAAATGTGTTAAAAGAAGTCCTCTCCTACCGCCATGGCTCTCCTATGTCCAAGTAAAGGCCCTCTGGTTTAAACCTCAAAAAATCTTACAAGCAGCCAGTTTTTTTAGCAATAAAAGGTAGCCACACATGTATACATGTGTCTTTGTCTGTGCTTTTCTATATTCTGCGTCATTAGGGATCCACAATGACTAGATCCGATCAACCCCCAATCCCCTAAATCCAGCTACATTTTCAAGGTTCTTTACCATTAATGTATTAAATTTCAATACACAACATCATTGTTAATCTTTGTGTGCTATGTAAACCCAAAAGACATGAATTTCATACCCTGTCATCCCAACAGTACTTTAGCTACCATTGGATATTTGATTGGATAAGCTGTCTGTATTTTCTTTCTCTACAGCGTTTACCACTGTGAGCTATGATATCACTCCTGTTATTTTTAGCAGGCTGGTTTAAATAATTCAGTTGTGTTCCTGCCATCTGTAAAATGAAATAATCAGTGCAGAAGTGATATAGTGGAATAAATCCAGGGGGTGGGCATGTGAGTACTTGTAGTGACTTCTGATAGGGTTTTGTTTTTCTTTGATGACTATAATTACAACCACAGATTCCCCATTCCCAGTCTGAATACAGTTCATATGAGAGCCTTGTCGGTCTTAGAGGAGAACTGACATTTTTTGTGTCTCTGTCACATGGAAGAAAGTGCACTTGCTGTTCACAAAGGAAAAGCAAATACGAACAAAAGTGAAAGGGAAATAAACAAACTGCCAAAATTGCCAGTCCACGTAGGCTTGATTTGTTTGACAGTGTTTGGTGTACTCGTACATATTTGGCACCAGAACCAAGTTAGAAAATAAGGTAATTCTAAAATGAAAACACTAAAATGTCAAAAAGTGATTTTTAGCCCTTTGTAACTTATTATCAAACTTAACTCTCCACACAAAAAATATCTTCATAGTGTGAATATCACTGTACAAAAGGTAAAAAACGTCAAGTTAATAAAATCAAGACCACATGTAAAAATATCACGTCATGTTTTAGGAAGAATTCAACAACACATCACATTGTTATGTAGTTCATCATTTCTGATCAGCTTTGAACCCTGATTATGTCTGAGAAAAACACAGTCATAGTTCAAAGGTGATGATGCAGTTTACTTCAGAGAAATACATTTTACAAGCTCCAGTCAAAAGGCATAGAATCGCATTAGAATTTGGCATAAACTGCTTTACTGTGGAAAATTCCTGTGTTAGCCAACAAACACAGAGAACAGGAGTGAAGAGTGAATAAATGGCTACATACTGGCTTGCAAGGTCTTCTGTGATATGTCATTGGTGAAGGCTCCGATGCCTTTGTTAGAGATGGCTGCCAGGGAGAAATGGTATTCTGTGTTTGGGCGGAGACCTTCCACAACATATGAAGATGTTGGTCCAAATGTTTTCTTCATCTGTTGACAGAGAGTAGAGTTATTGAGTCTGATGTGAAATGCTTGAACAGAAATCCAATGTTGGATCATTAAGAAATGTACATCTCTCAGTGCAAATACACTGCCAAATGAAACACTGAGATTCTAACCTGGATGCCCAAACTGCCTTCCGTGTAACGAAGTTCATAATTTACAATTCCTTCTTTCTCATAGGCAGGTTCCCAGGTCAGTTCAATGCTAGTGTCAGACACAGCACCAGCCTGAAATTTGGATGGCTGACCTGGAACTGAAGAACAGAGCAAAGGACATTGTTCTAGGATATTGTTAATAGAAATTAGTAGTAAGATGGGAATGAATATTATACTCATCTTCCAATTAACCAGTGAAAGAAAATCTTAAGTTTGTGCCCCAGTGACAAGCAAGGTACAATTGTGTTCTGCTACTCTGTAAAATGCATCTTGAACACACTTGGTTTCAACAGTATTGCGAACATTACATATATGTCTATTGTAAGCAAAATTGATGGACATGGAATTCAACTAAAGCAACAGAAGAAAAACCTATTTCTAAATTTCAACACCAGTAGCGAAGTTCACAAAAATATTCTCACCTCCTAGCAGTACTTTGACGTGGATAGGCTCTGAGAAGGGTCCGTCTCCAACAGAGGTGAATGCTAGGACTTTAATTGTGTATGTCTCTTGAGGAACCAGGCTTTGGATAGTGGTGATGAGGCTGTCTTGGACATTATGAATCTGCCAGAGGTTCATGGACTGGGAGTCGTCCATGGTATAATAAACGCGGTAGCCCTTGATCTGCCCATTGGGCTCCTCAGGCTCTTCCCAGCGTACCATCATGGTGTTTGGGGATATGATCTGGGCCTGGATGTTTCGTGGTGGACTGGCAGGGGCCTGTTCACCAGTCCGGGCTTCTACTGGCTCACTAGGAGGACCCTGGCCAATTGTGTTGACAGCTGAGACACGAATTTCATACTCTGTGTTGGGGTAGAGGCCACCAATGCTGTAACGTGTAGTGGTGATGTCATCCATCGTCTCATACTTGCTGTCTGGGGACTTGGCTCTATACTGGATAATGTAATAACTCACTGGGTCTGGGTTGCCTGAGTCCCAGGTGATGGTCACACTGGTGGCAGTGGTTTCAGTAACCACAGGGGTACCTGGAGGCTTGGGGAGAGCTGTTATGGTGACAAAACAGGAAGGAAAGAGGAAACTGACATTTATCATGACAGTGATTGATTTCAGACTTAAATGAAGTTAATCATCTTCATAAGTAACCTTCTTCACCATCACAATTATCTTACATTTGACAGTGATCTGCGCAACAGCTTCAATGATGCCAAGGCTGCTCATGGCCACGCAGGTGTAGTTGGCTGACTCACGGACGCTGCTCAGTTCGAGAACGTTTCTGCCCACTGGCATCTCATCCTCTGGTGTCAAGTCCTCTGAGTTCAGCATCCACTTGACGTAAGGCATGGGCGATCCCACTGCCACGCATGTTATGTTCACACTGCCACCAGGCATAATTTCCTGACTCGTTGGTGGAATGGAGAAGCGAGGAGGCACCCGCCGGACTGGGAGAAGGCATGAGGAAGGGGAGAGGATGACAAAAGAGGGCAAGGGAGTCAAAAAAAAAGAGAAAAAGAGAGGTAACAAGAGAGGCCGATGAAAATGGACCCTTCTCAAAGAAATACTTAACACAAAAGGTTCAACATGGTAGATGTGAACTGAAACACAATATAAAAGAAGTAGACTTTTCAAAACATAAAAATATACAAATAATGAGAAGGAACTAAACTAACAGAACTGCTTCAACAACAATGTAGATTAACAATAAAGCAACGATTCATAGCAACAAGGTTCCATTGACCAATATTTGACCCATCACAGCACAATTAAATACACAAAAATCTATTACGAGTTTCTCATCTTTGGAACTGAACTGCTGAAGTAAAAATACAACTACAACATAACCTGATCACGAAGTATGAAGGAGTAGTAAAGGCCATGTGACAATGCTATCACATAAGGCCAACATGGCAACCTGGAACTTCCTGTCCTCTCAGGCACTCATGCCAAACAGGAAGTAGGCCATTACAGGCTTCTCCCACAGCACAGGAAGTGTAGGGTTACTAGGCTATTGACCATCTCTACAAGGTCTCTAAACACATTCTAGCGTAAGTTTGCACTTGACACCTGTCTCTTCTACGTAGATATCTTAAAGATGAGAAACTTTAATCAGATTTTTGTGGTTTAGGGTAGATCCACTGGACAAAGCCTTATTAAGATCTGACACGGTTCCATTGATAGATGCAGCTATCAGTTTCACAGACAGCATGCATAAATAGACCGAGGTAAATTAAGGAGTAAATGATAACAAAATCAGATATAAAAATTGAGATAAAATGCATAGAGGAATATAACTGAAGGGTCGCTAGCATGCCCAGACAAAAGACGATTGGAGAGGAAAGAAGAAATACAAGATAGAGGATAAAGCATCTGAGGGGAGGATTGAAAGAAAGGGAACAGAGGAGCAAAGAGTGACAGAGGAAGAAAAAGAGAGGGGAAGGTTTGGAGGAGGGTGAAGGGGGGGTTAACCCACTTCAATGCTGTGTAAACTTTGTTTTTCTCCAGCAAATGTGACGAAATGTGATGGTGGCACATTGTCACATCGCAGTCCCAGATAACACAAAATAAGTATTGAGGAACAAGGTGTGTGTCTAGAAATACATAGAAAAATAACTATAGTAGTTGTAGCTTGAGAGTCTACTATCACATAGTGTTGGAGTCAAGAAACAGAACTGGATCAACAGGGAGTAGAAATCCAAAGAACAAGAAAGATAGATAGAGGGAAAGAGAGGGGTAGATGAACCAGGGAAGAATGAAAGCTAAGAGAGGGAGACAGGGAGGAGCTCAAAACTCATGGATAGGAGTTGAGTGGAAGGAGGCTGATAATGAGTCTAAGACGCAGAGGAAGGACGCGAATGGTACTGTGTACTTGCGTGTGTGTATGTGTAGATACGTGTATATATATATATATATATATATATATATATATATATATATAGTGTTGGTTAAGGCATGACTGTGCGTGTGTACAGTATGCAAGAGTTAGAGAGTGAAAGAGTATGAGTTAGCAAAAACACTGTGTTCATGAGAGGCATCCCAGCAAGCACCTGACAAATAGTGTCATGCAAAAGGTGGCCAAGTTCGACAGAGTACAAAATTTACAATAGTGTAATGTAGGATTTCCTTGCCTATAACCATCTAAGGTGAGTGGCAGTATTTGTTTTGATGCTCTAATGCCAAACTTCCAATATACATAGTCATAGGAGAAAAATGTTTTACATGCCTGATGGTGAGGTACCACCTTGTGTTGAGCCAGGGCAACCACTTGTGGTACATTAAAAGTAAATATTGAACATTTTGTCCTGATACAATATAATTAACAATCATGTACTGTGTTCACCAAAAATATACAAGCAACAACTGTGGACTACTACAGAGGTCTGTAACTTTTCAACACAAACCAAAGTATCTACATCTATTCAATGTCAAAATGTTTGTTGGGATGCAAAGAAGGTCAAAGAGAGAGCAAAGTGGTGCAGATGTAGAAGTAAAAAATGATGAACCAATGGAAGAGCTGACTTAGAGACAGACAGATAGACAAGACAGGAAAGACAGGGACGAGAGACAAGACACGAGGCAGAACAAAACAGACTCAAGCAGCAAGACAGCAGACAAGAAGACAGACAGAGAGAGACGGGCAGACAGACAGTGACGGATGGGCACGCAGACATACTGTACAGTACGCAGAGGGGAAGGGGAGGGGTTTGGGTTGTCGAAGAAAGGGAAGGAGAAGGAGAAGGGTATAAGTGGGGGGATAGAATAAGGAGACTGTGATTCCAAATCAAAACAAAACCAAAAAAAAAAAGACCATGGCTCAAAGTGGGTTTGAAGGTCTCACACACTGGGGCTTAAAATCAAGAATCAACTACACCTCCCCTCCTCCCCGCCTTTAACATTGCACCTCAATGCAAAAGTAACTCAGAAAGTCTTTGGGTGGGCGGATGTGAGGTATGTGTGTCCGGGGGGGGGGGGGGGGGGGGGGGGGGGGGGACGGACGGACTGAGAGGGGCATCAGGGATAGGTAGCATTCCAAAATACACCGTGTCGATCCAAATGGGATTCTTATGATCGTTGCATGGGACAGTTTGATGTTTTCCAACAGACTAACGGCACAAATATCACCTACACACACTGAGGGGATTTTTACCTAAGAACTGACAATCACTGACCTGAGCACCGAAATAATCACTAAAATGTACATACAGTATGTTCACATGTAGTCTGTCGGGGACAAACATGTTAGTAAATAAAGCAAACTAGCACTATATTGGTGAAATTGGTGAAAACCCATCTACTGTTCCTGGCTTTTAACAGCCATGTCATATTTAGTCATAGAAAGCACTGCTTTACATGTAAAAAGATTTATAAAACACAAACAGCCAACTACAGTTAGAGATAGAATCAAACATGGAGACCTTTTGCAGCCACTGTTGTGCTTTTCATTTGTACTCCTCTGTTTTACTCTACATGCATCCTCTCAGTCCTGTAATTCACTGTCAATGTCCATTATGTTACTACCTTGGGCAAAACACCATCTGACCTTGAGGGCAAAAAGTTCATTGCTGACCTTTTGTGGTTCACAAAATCACATACTGGTGTGGCATAAAATGTACCAGCAGATTTCAGCAAAGAGTATTCTGTCCTTAAAAAAATCCCAAATTTCCATATTTACAATCTGAGCAAAAATGTCAAAAATATAACCATAATAATCATAAACTGTTGTGACCTCACTGCAAAAATATTTAATTAAATAATGGGATATGTGACCTTGGTTGCGATAGGATGCTTTGTCTCATCATGACAGGTATTATTGGCTAGTTATAAATTCCAAATAGGAAATATTCTATAAAACTTGAAAAAAAGCAAAAAAAGCCCACCAAATGGGGACAAAAAATATATATCTGCATTTTAATTGGTCAAAAAATGCCTGACGAAACAACAAAGGTGAAAGGGCAGCCCATTCTTCACACTGACATGCATGGGTGTGGCTATGGCATGAGTGACATATACAGGTGCACCCCCATCCACTTGGGCAGACACCAGGGAACCAATACAACCCAAAAATGTCACCCAAGCCCATCCAAGCATGCCATCCATTCCCAAATATAGCATTGTTCCAGACACACACGCACAAAATCAAATTAAAATTAAATAAATCAAACTGAACAAATCCACAAAAAGAACTAAGTCCGAACAGCATAGACAGTACCAGAGTGCAGCTGTGTTCAACAAAGAAGTATGCATCAATACTATTAGATGTTTTTCAGCTATGATTTGTCTCTGCTTGAAGTTTGCCTCCAATCCAAAATAACGGTGAACACTGAACAGGGCTAACAGGGTCTGTGTTTTAGGGGAAATGTCCAATCAAAGTGTGTCTGATGGTGCTCTTCTCTCCCTGGGGCTCAGGTCAGCCAATGGACCGGGAGCTGTAGTGCCTGAGTGAATGAGGTTTCCCCACAGGAAGATGTCTCTGTTCACCTTTGAGTACTTACACTCTCAGGGAAAAGTGGGAATTACCACCAGCCACCTGCCAAATGCTGGTAACTTTTGGCTGTGGCTGGCCAGTGAAATTTGAAATATACAAATCACTGAGCCAATAGACAAAAATGTCCTTGCTTAAAGGCTTTGTGGCACTGGGGCACTCTATAATGAATGGTAGGTAATCAAACTGCAATTTGGAAAACACAGACAGGGGAGAGTCTACCTGTCAACAGCATGCACAATGTGTCTGACTCATAAATAAATGTGACCTTTGATTAGAACAGAAGATAAAGAGCTCAAGGTCAGTTGGTACTACAGCATATTACACTATATCCAGTAGACATGTTGGGGAACATTAACAGTGTGTGTAAATGTCAGTATCACATGCAAATGACTCACTGCACTATCATTAGCTAGACATGCTTGGCCTGTGTGAAATAACTGGATGTTCAAGTGGACTATTCAAGTCATGTCAATGGTCTGGTAAGCTCTCGAAAGCTGTGTACGTGTGTACGTGTGGTACCTATGCTGTCCTACCTTTACAATGCAGTGCCAGTGAAACAAAGAAAATAAAGAATCCCAATTGCATGGACAGGCTCCTCATTCACAGAGACCAGGAGCCCAGCCGGCCCATTCGGAATTGAGAGAAAATAAAACAAACATGTACCTTTCATTTGGAATACTAACAACATATTATCTTGTTTCAAGCCCCAATGTGGAGAGAAAGACAAGAAGCCTTACAGTGGACGAGGTGAAAAGCAGTCGAGAGAGAACGCCAGAGTACTGCACTAACTCTAATAGTGGGCGGTGTTGTGGAGGGATTTGTGCCAAAAAACAGAGGTCAGAAGGTGGACATTATCGGCCATTTTGGTGAGGCAGTGATTGCTGCCCCAAAATGAAGGGGGAAGCCAAAATAATGTGCAGCCTTTAGTGTCACCTTGAAGCTGAGATTACACCCTCTTGCTGCCTGAGGACACAGGCGCAGTATGGAGATCCTTTAGTCACACTTGCTGGGTTAGGCCTACGGCATTTACATATAAGCCGCAGGGGTCGGCCCGTATTAACATACCTTAGCTGCGGCAATGCTAAACAGTCACTATCGGTGGCTCATCAAAATGGAAATTATTATCTAAAGAAAACTGACAGGAATCATGGCAGAGGTATCTAATAATAGCAAGCAGTGGATTGAGGGGATTTTAGAGTGCATCACTTGTTTCTATTGACTTACAGGTAGATGACAAGCAGCCAAATGATACTGCAAAAATGTCCCCTCACTGTGGTGATCCCCAGTGAATATTATCAGTTGGATTGAGAAAGGGCTTGTATTCATATTTTTGCATTTCAATAAGAGGTAATAGAAATTTTGTTTTGAATGAAAAAAAGGCAAATTCTGATAGCAACATGATGTTTTTGAGGGGTGGCTATTAACTTCAGGACTCCTTGAGACAAACATCTAATAGAGATGGCAGGATTTTGCTTTGGCCAGTGAGAACATAAGGTGTAATCTAGCTTTCTTTCCCAACATTACACACAAATGCATAGCAGGACATGCAAGCACATTCAAAATCAGGCAGATACCATTGTAGGAGGGCAAACATGCACATGCGTACATTACAGCGCAGTCTTTCTGCATCAGTGTTATTCTTAGGACTTAACAATTAAATATAATGGCTGAATGTAGACATTATCAAGTTTTCATTATTCTCTGTTTCTCAGAGTGGCATTGTGCCATACTTTGTGAACATATGCATATATTATGAGTAAGGTATTAGTGACTCAGCTGTTACAATGACTGACAGTCTTGATAGCCAGTTGGTGCATAGAGGTGATGGAATTTAAACCCTCATTTTTGTTTGGGATAACTGCTAAACCAGAAGGGATGATTATACAGATGTCTAATAACTTGCCTATGGACAAATGATGTGGCTGGTGAAATGGAAAGAAATGGCATGGGTGTGGTAGACAGGGGCCAAAAATATATTAGCCATACTCAGCACCTTCTCAAAGGGAATGCTGGCCAACACTGAATAGTTTTAAGAGGGGCACCAAAGTTGCCTACAGCAGAAGACTTTGGTTAAAATGAGCAGATTCCAGGGGTAAATTTGGTGCACAGTGTTACTGATGAAAAAACAGATGTACTACTATGGATGAATTAAGGTTGCTAAAGAATGCATACTGCTTCCATGTTTGCTATTGGAGCAGTAGTTATTTTCAATATTTTCAGATACTTTACAGATCCCCTGGAGATCAACACACTTTGATATCCAGGCATACAAATACTCCCACTCTCAGAGGATACTGATAGTGGTGGAAGTGTGTTAGCTCTTCTACCTGAATGAATGATATGCCTGATCAACCCAGCCTTGTTGAGCCACATGTAATGCTCCTAGCCAAAAACCATGGTTCCTTTCCAAAATTATGCATCGTATGTATTCATAAGCCTAGTGGAGCTGTAAACATTACGGGTGAACCCACTGCAGAAGGTGACATGAGATTCAATATAGATCTGATTCAGTTGAATGTGTCTTGGAAAACCTAGTGCACATGCTGATGCTACCATTTAAGTGGAACATCTTAAGAGATGACAGGTAGTTGGTACAAAGCCAGTTGCAATATAAAACAGTACACGCTGCTTGGATTGATTTCCAATTCATTTAGCACTTTCTCGTCATTATTGTCATAGGACTACACTATGAAAGCTTCAAAAAAAAAAAAAATTACTGTGTGTTTTGTTGTAGTCCAGCTTGAGAATCTTCATTACTTTAGTCACATCTAACTGAAAATCAATTCAATTCTATGTGTGTGTGTGTACAAAGGATGGAGGGCTTTTGAATAATAAATTATAATTTGATTGAGTGTCATGACTGCGAGGGAACACAAACAGCAGTCACTCAACAAAACCAATCACATCTAGCTGCTGCCATTTGAAAATAAAAGTATCTTTGAGCACCCGCTAAGCAACAGCAAATGTGATGTCGAAGTCATTATATTGTTATTGATCCACACGGCACTGTAAATGGCATCCCTTAATGGCTGCCTGAAATCCCCATGGAACCCAATCAGGCCTAATTTTTTCAATAATGGATCGCTAGAAACAAGATGACAGGAACACTGGCTGTACACACACTTATTATTTCATTCGGCATTTGCATTTGCACTCCGAGACTCAAGAAGCAGAGCAGCATCATTTTGAAAAATAAACATAAATCTCACAAACAAATGAACCACAAAAAGACAAACAGAAAAGTAAGTTTAGGAAAAGAACTGAAGGAAAAGGAAAACACACAAACACAACACCATAATCACAACACAAGAAAAAAACTAAATAAAGGAAAGCCAAAAAAGGGTTGAATTCGAGAAAACACTTGTAGAAAAACCAAAGAAAGAGAAGGAAACAATTGAACAAAACACAGGGAATGCAGAAAGAAAAGACCAACACGGCCAAAGGGATTCTGTACAGGCATGCAAGCTCAGTTACATTCTCCCATCATGCAACAAGTCCTGTTATTTACACGTGCTGGGTTTCCATGACAACACGTGCAAGAAAGCCTTTAGGTGCAGAAGCAATACCAAAGGATGCAAAACGAGAAAAGGCCCCACAATGCAAACATAAAAGTAAATTAACAAGACCCGAGCTAATCGGGTTTGCTTTCATCATTTTTTTTCTTGGAAATAAAGAAACATTTCTTTCATAATCATTTAGCACTTTGGATTAACTGATTAGTATTTCTTCAAATCAGTAATTAATCGAGCTCTGTAATAGGAAAATACAGCTAAATTTTTTTTAACATGTTGAATTGTTTTTCAAATGTGGGTTAAAAAAAGTAAAAAAGAAAAAACACACCAACCTTCTCGAAGCTCTGAGGGATGTAAAGGGGTTGATGCAGAACACAATGACATGAGGAGAAGAGAAAAATAGGGGAAACACAGAGAGAGTAAAAAAAGCCACCTCAAGGTGTTTAGCTGCAGCTACATTTCCCTTTTCTTTAATCCTTTTTTTCCTCCTTTTCCCTTGTCCCAGCTATCACTGACACCCGTCTTGAAAGTACACTTGCCTGCCCCCCCCCCCCACCCCCCTTAAATAAACTTTGAACCAATACAATCAGATTCACCCCAGTGGCCACACTGTCGCCTGGTAAAAAGAAAATATTGAGGCGCCACTGGAGTCAAATCAAGTGTACCATACTCATAAATCAAATTTTCACAAGCTCCTTATAACCACAAGGAGAGGTTCCTGTGGTGGCCATATTTGCTTTTGTTAGAGAAGGAAACCAAATAAAGAGAAAATAAATAAAAACTAATGAGAGATAGAAAAGAAAAAAAGACACAGTTTGGGCTGAAATTAGCAGCTGCAGTTCAAGACAGTTAGAAGCCAATCAGTAGCACTGTCATTTTGGTTTCTTTTAGGATAGTAGTCTCAATTTGCCCTGGTAAAGTATGCCCTAGATATAATTTAGGATTGTTGTTGTGTTTTCTCCAGAAAATTGATCCCTACCACAGCTGCTAATCTCGAGTGCATTTCGCTTTGTGAACAAAACATAGTCAACATCAAGTATCAGAATTGATTGACAAAAGTTAACTGAAAACAGACAAAAGTTGACACCATTAAGGCATAACAAGTGTGTTACATAGTGTGAAAGTCCCTGAGTAATTATGACCTTTGTGTAGTCTTTTAAAAGCATGCTGATGAAGCCAGTGTTCATGGAGATTGCATGAATTGTTGGAAATGATATCAGGGTATAGCAGTGTGTTTTTGACCAAAGAAACTACTAAACATCCCAGTGCTGTGTCAACAAAGTGTTCCCATTACTGTTAATGAATTCCGTAGAGCTCTTGTCTCACTGTAATTTACCATGAACCTTTCAACTGCTACCATTCTGTACATGAAAAAGGCGGATAGCTACTTGACATTAAGTGTCACTGACACTTAAGACAGTATGAGAATCCAGGATCAATGCTGGCTAGAAGAGACTCTAATCTTGATCAACCATTTTTTTTTTTTTTTTTTTACTTTCTACTCCCTACAGTTTTTCTTCCCTACACTGCTACTTCACAGGATATGATAATAGCAATAATAATGAAAAAGCAGCTCCCTGACCCATTTCATAATGTCAGAGTAGTGAATTATTTATTGGGAACAAAGTTATTTGGTACACAGCAGAGGGAACAAACTGAGTAGATACAGAGGCATCTTTATTTAATATGCACATTATAAATAATGCATGTCGAAAATGCATCTGCTTCAATTTATCAAAGCTCCCTCAACAGGGATTCATTGTCATTTAGCATTAGTGGTAGAGAGAAGGCTTTTGTCTTCATTGCCTGTTTCCTATGAAACTCAACGTTCCCTGTGACTGTTTGTTTTTCATATCTTCACTTTGCTGGGACATGCCAGCCAAATTTACCACTGACTGTAAAAGGCTTTAAAGATAATACCCCAAGCAGAAACAGGGGAATACTATGGATTTATGCTTCAGAACACCATGAACAAAAAGTAGAAGAAGTGTACTATTTATAATCTAAGCACTAGAGCATTCTTTTTGTAATAAAGAGCTGCTGACTGTGTTAAGAGTCCTTTTCTATTAATTCACCACAAGTAAATCCTTTTTTACCCCCAAATCTTGGAGAAGGCGAAGGGGTTGAGATTTTGATTGATCAGCATTAATACCTCGCCACTCAATCAAAATCACGACTTACCGTTGTGCTCCTGTACCTGAAAAAAAACGAATCAAAAAAAGAAGTCCTTTGCGACTCTTTTTGGGTGCCATAACTTTGACGGAGGGTGAAACATTTGATCGGGCACACAATTACAGGTAAAAGGCGTCTTACAACTGATAAAGTAAAGACATACGGCTTGTTGTGCTACACATTTCCTTCCAAGTGAGTAGGGGAAGGCATTCAGAGACAAAATGGAGCATAACATCATAACAGAGAAGAACATTAGTTGGTCAATTATAGTTTTACATTTGGAAGTGTCAGTGCATATGAAATTACATTTGTGGGCAGGCAATACTATCAATGCTAAAAGATTTATATTACTTGGGTATTACTATTCTGCAAAATACATTTTGTGCAAATACAGCTGGGCTAGAATGGAAGCAATTATCATTTGTTAAGCTCAACAGCAATGCCACTTAAAGCTGAGCTGCACTGTGCAGACATCTGAGTGTGGATGTATTTATTTATTTATTTTTGGCCTGGCTCTGGGGCCAGGTTGCTCCCTACCTCGCACATAAAGGTTAGCAGGGGACGAGTAGCGTACGCCTTCCACATTAGACGCCACGCACTCGTACTTCCCCTGGTCTGTCTCCTCGCTGTTCTCGATCTGCAAGGCACCTGGGGAATGACAGCATCCAACAAAGACAAGAAGGGATGGGGGAAGAGAAAGAAAGAGAGAGAGAAAGAAAGCAGGGAGAACATGATTAGTTGATCTGTTGGTGACTCGACAATCTTCTTAATGGAGGAGATGTTGAACCATTTTGTCAAGAACTGTTTCTCTCTGCAAAGCTAATGCAGATTGCCAAGACAAACTGGGTTCCTCTCCAGCCTCAGCCATCCGCGGATAAAAAGAGAATTAAATAAATACAAATGTGGACTCGCACTAAATTTGAAGCTATGTTGATGTATGCAAGTCATGTTAGACATGAAATCGTTTTTAAATAAACAGGACAAAGTGATGAGTGTGGTAATGTTACAGGGTGTCATGTAAATTGAGCATGATTCAAAAAAAGTGTCCTTTGCATAGCACTCACTGAGGAGGGTGTGTACTGGGGAATGAGAGAAAATATCCAGACATACAGTTCAAATGAACACTAGCATGGTGCATGCCCATTGAACAGCTTAATAATAAAGACGCATCTAATCTTACATGATACCTTATGAACATATATGGAATAAAAGATTAAAGGTATATCTATATGAACTGATATACTTGGTACCATTATGATTGTGTTGTTTACAATCATTTGTATTCTCTTTTACTTGTTATTTGTGTGCTTTGTATTAATCACTCTTCACTCCAGTGTATTAAGATTTGATGTAGTATCTCTACTTTGTACTAAATTCGTGTTGATCTCTTCTTCATTTACTTTCCCCCGTATTGTCATATTTTAGGGTATATGGTTTTATATAAACCCGTTCAAGCTTATGTGTTTCAACTTATCTATTTTTCAGATTTTATCTCTTATATGTGCAAATAAACTCAACCTAAATGCTTGGCAATGACACTGGAGAAGGGGCGGGGGGGCGGAGGAGAGAGGTGAAACAACAGGCGTCAGATCATTCCTCGTTAGAGCGCTGTTGACGGCAGATCCTGATGATATCATTAGGGCTTCTGGCTGGCTCAGCAGACAGATTGCAGCCCAGGCCTCCCTGACAAACACAGCACCATCGCTCGTTACCATTTAGCCAGGAAGCATCAATACACCAGCCGCTGCCCAGGATGCTTTGTAAAATACCATAACCAACTCCATCACATCAGCAAGCGGCAGGAACACAATGTTATACAAAGCTACTATTCTGGAACATTGGTCTAATAACGCTTTTCAGCTGTGCCACAAATGAGACAATCGATCCTGCTTAATTATTAAGATCAGTCATGCTTCCACCTTGGCCACAGTGTAATACTGTAAGAGAATTTTACACCTTTGAGTCAGTACAAAGATATCCACTCTTAAAAAAAAAAAAAAAACAGACCTGAAGCCACAACAATCTATACTCATCTATTCTATTCCCTCTCTTCATTTCTCTCTACAGTTCAGATCATCCTCAGCCCCCAGAGGGATCTGTTCTTGGCACATAGCTCATGAACCAAATGAAAATGTCTACCTGCCGAGTGCAGGTGGTAGATTCTTCCCTCTGCATTTATGCAAGGATCTGATTTGGATGTGTTTGATGTGCGCTTGGAACAGCAAATGCCAGCCCGGTGGCAGGTGGGTTGGAATGTGCTCAGAAGCCTAGCGCCTCGACACCAGGGAGACCACAAAGTAAGGACTGTGTGAAGTTCAATTCCAGGTGGATGGTTCCAGAAAGCTCTGCCAGCGGCTCCTCAGTCTTGGTCCCTGTGCTGAATTATAAAATCTTAGGAGAGCTATAGTTGAAGTTGGTGCAATTTTTTCACTGCTTCATAAATATTAACGCTGAAGGGCTTGTGGTGGGATTGAGTGCCCTTTTTGTTATCTGTTACCAAAGAGCAAAATCAGAAGAAATGTTCTATATTTCATATATTGTCATTGCCAACTGAAGATGTTCCGCAAATGCAAATGCTTCCAGCAAATACAAATGTCTTTATCTGAAAATAATACTTAATAAATGTCATCTGAAGGTCAACAAAACACAACCACCAACATGCGGATGGGTGACAAACACAATTAATTGAGAGCCAATTAAAACCAACATCAGCTGCTGTGAACTGTACCTCCTGGCGAAAGAAAGAGTGAGAGCAAGAAAGGAGAGAAAGACAGAGGAGACTTTGAGAGGATTGAGAGAGTTTCATCTGTTTCTCACCATCTTTGGTGGAGGCTCCTCGCTAGGTGGTATTATCTATTGTTTCCAAGTCCCTATTGGCTTCATTACATATTCCAGCTATTATTCAGTAGAGTTGTGAATAACACAAAGACTCAGAGAAGAGAACAAGTGAAGTAGGAAAAAAGCAAGGAAGAAAAAGGAAGGGAGGAGAAGCAAGAAGGAGAGATAGAAGTAAGAGATAAAGAAAGCAAGAGACAGCAAATGTACACGAGCAGTGAGAGAGAAGGAGGAATGGAGGAATTTATTCTTATTCATATCCCTTATTTCTTATTTTCTGTCTTAAATTTGTCTATTACTATTCTCTTTCAAAATTAAATAACAGAAGATAATGTATTATCTTAAACTGGATAAACATTGAAAAATGAATAACAAAAATTATGAATTTAATTGCACACTGGATACAATTAGATGTGCGTGAACAAATATGTGATGAAGTCCAGTGCGAGAGCTGGAGAAGGGAAAAGCTAAGAGAGAGAGGAAGATCAATAGAAAAATTACATCTATTCTATTTTGAGAGGCTTTATGCTCATCTCTCCGTCAGATTCACACATAGTCGAGGCAATATCCCACTGGTCTTATATGTGTTGTGCCACACTGTGAGTTCCATACCTATTCTGTAGATTTTGTCATTTCCACTCTCTATAGCATATGTTTTCTTCTAGTCTCACCTTGTATTTCGTAAACCACAAAATAAGAGAATGTCAATGAATCTATCCCATTGATTTAAGTATTGATCTCTGTAACCAAATAAACAAATTAAATTTCTTTATTTTCTGGTGATGCCAGTTTAAAGCCTGATAATATTAGCATTTAAAGACAACAGACCTCTAAGAGCTTTTAACATACAAATCCAAATGCACCGTCTTTGATGTCATATCTCCAGCAGCAGCATGCACCGGCATGAGCACACACTAAACAAACTCCACCCTTTGAAAACCCTTGTCACCAGCATGTGTCTCTTTCCTACCATTTTCTTTTGTCTTTTTTAAAAATGACTGCACACCCTGTGTTTTGCATAATTGCACTGTCTACCCTGCCAGCCTGTGGCTCACCACAGCGCGAGTGGCCATTGGCAATTTTTTTTCTTTTATCAAGAAAAGAGGAAACACAAGGAATGAAATAAATGCTGAAAATTATCTTTCCCAAGCACAATAAAAAAACACGCACCCAGTCTGTTTACACAATGGGCGTTTACTGATAAAGACTTGCCTTGCGACAAACAGCAAATTACGGTGTTGCTCACAAAATGACCTTACTGTGCTTATGAAATGAGTCCCATATGGGGCCTAATGGCATGTCTTCACTGTCTCCAGCTATTAAGTCTTATCACAAACATAACAAATGTAAAAACTACCAAAGACCCGTTTGTTTTGCTTGATTTCATTAAGAAATAAATAAAAAATGAAAAACAGTTCATGACTAGTAATTGTCATATGAAAAAAAAAAAAATAGTACACTTTATTTCATTACTTGGTAAGTATTTAAATTCAATGGTGAGGGTGATTTACAATTGATGAGCAAGTACTAGATTACTTGCTACTTAATCTTGCTCAAAGACACTTAAAAAGGGCACATGAATGCTGAGGGACATTATGTGAGCTGTTGTGGGCATTGAACCTAAGATCTGAGAATGTCCAGGAAAGTCTCTCAATCCACTTAGGGGGCTTTCACACCTACCTCGTTTGGTCCGGACTTTCGGACTTTTCAGTTTCAAACAGATGAAATTTGGTCCGACGAAAAGAGGTAGTTTCAGTCCGGTTCGTTTCTGGTGTGAAAGCATTTTTTGGATGGTTCAGACTTTCAGACTATTTACAGGAAGTTTAGCGGTTGACGTGTAAACTGGAAACAAACAAATGCACGGAGACATGCATTGAAATAAGGACACAATTATAAATCTCCCGTGACAGATCATCTTTTCAAAACAGACAGCCACTATAGAAGCACACTGCCACATACATCTTTGTTTTCTCCTGAAATGGAGGTGCAGAAAGATTGCTGCTGTCTTCTCCTCCTTTCCTGTCGGCGACTTTATAATGTTCGCACGAGGATGTTTAATTGCAAATTTGAACTAGCCTTCAGTATACTTGGTGCTGCAGGTAGTAATGCCATGATAATAATATAGTGGCAAATATGCATACGTTAATTTTTTATTCATTCATTCTAGTCAAAGATACCCGCTGAACTGTTTAATAAACCAATCAATGTCAAGTATAGGGAGAATCAGCCTACACAGATGATGACAACGGAATGCAAGTGTGTCATGTAAAGTCCTTTAGTGCGGTCGCAGAATTGCAGTGTGAAACCAAACCAAAACTAACCTAATGTATCAAAATGTATCAAAACATGAACCTTGGTTCGGACCTTGGTGCGGACTTTCAGGTGTGAAAGCCCCATTAGAGGCTACACCAACCATCCGTAAACCCCAGGAAGTACCGCCACTGCTGAATAATAATTCATGTGTTCCTGGATCAGAGGAGAAAAGATTGGTGCCATTTTTTTCTTTCTGTCTTATTCCATGATGTATGATGCACCATTAGGATCCCAAAGAAGAAAAAAATACTGGCTACAATTTAAGCAAATAAAGTCCCTGATAATAGTGACATCACTTCCACGTGGACCAATTAGTTTCCATCTCAGTCAAAGTGACCCTTACTGCCCACCAACTCTCACACCCTCCAATCTCCACTGCCACCCACTCCTGGCTGTCTTGCAGCATGTTCACTGCCTTCATCCATTCGATAAAGAAGGCTGTAATGGGCAGTTGGTCTGGGACATTTGTCCCAGCCTTGACAGCTGCCCTGGTTAACAGG